TTTATTCCGCTTAATACATCTATTTAAATAAGGGTATTTATAGATGCCGAGCACTTCCTATTACAGGCGGCTGCTATAGGTTTAAGTATAGCGTTGTAATTATTATAAGCTTCCTCTACTATCTCCTATAGCTAAACACGTAAGCTATTAACTCTAGAAGGCTGCCGAGTAAGCGTACCGCTTATCTTATAGTCTACTTTATTAGTAGACGTACTGCGCACGCGTGTATAAAACTCTCTAGTACCTCTAAAGCAGCATCGGTACTATATTTTCTTTATTTCCTTCGTCTTTCTATCTGGTTTTAAACGGAACTTAATAAGCCTGTAGCCCTGCGCCTTTATATACTTTCTAAGTACTTCCTCGGCTTTATCTAGCGTATAGTAGAACTGTGGCGGTAGTAGTTTAAGGGCTATAGTAAGTATATTAAGGAAGTTAAGGATTAGGATATAATGCTTTATAGCCACGCCGCACTTAAAGAGAGTATTTAGAATTAGTAAAAAACGTAAGCGAGCGAATCGGAGGCCCCGGAGCACTCCTCCGGACCAATTAGAAGATTAGACGTAAAAAGGGTGTATATAGAGTAGAAAAGGGGTGTACACCCTATATTTACTCGGTGTACACCCCTTTTCTACTCCGTATACACCCTTTTTACGTCTAATCTTCTAATTGGTCCGGAGGGCTCGGAGGAAGCTCCGGCGCTTAATTCTCACGCGCATCTATATAAAATAGGAAGGCTGTACAGCCTTACTATTTTATTATATATTCTTACCGTTTCCGTAAGGCTATATATATAGGCCAGCTACACGTAAGGCCTTATATAAGGCCGTATATAAGGCCGTATATAAGGCCGTACGTAAGGCCGTATATAAGGCTACTTATAGTAAGGCTGTGCAGTATACCCGTTTTACTATATATACTTCCCGTTTCCTACAGTGTATATAGGCCGTTATATTACTACCTATGTGCCTATATACCTATAAGCATGCTAAAACAGTTAAATCCTTACCTTATTACGGCCTTTCTATATTAAACCTGGCCCCCCTATATCGCCGCCGCGCCTTCCTGGCTATCCTAATCTATTAACCCCTTTATATACTGCTCGTACAATGCTATCTAATGTTGGAGCTCCTTATAAGGAAGCAGCGCTGGCGCTGCCTAAGGCTAAGGAGCTAGCTAAGGCTAAGGAGCTGGCTAAGGCTTAGGATAAGCGCTATTATAACGCTGCGCAGCCCCTTTCCGTGGTGCTACCTTCTTCCTAGGTGCCTTATCCTTTGCACTAGGCGGCCGGCTATGCTTTTTAGGTGCAGCAGTAGATGCAGTAGTAGGTGCGGGCGTAGGTGCGGCAGTAGGGGGGGGCCTAGGTATTACTGCATGCTTAAACTCGGGCGGATTAGTAAGCAAATTGTCGAATTCCGTGATAGCTGGTGTAGCGGCCAACTAAGGAGCACTCTAAGCGACAGGAGCTGGACGGGGGGCTACAAAAATAGGCGGTCCTGGCGGTGGAACTGTCGGCGTGCGTTCTGTAGGTATACCTGTAGGTCTAGCTGCCGCACCTGTGCCCGTAGCAATCTTAAATCTTAATAGCTCTCGCTGCGTATTGTTGTACGTATAATAGCCTCTCCTCGCAATAGTAGGCCGGCCGCGCCGGCGCTTAACAACAGCAGGATCCTCTATATCCTTAAAAGGCCTAAAAGGAATAGCTAGCTAATGTCCTCCTGGCCGAACAAACTACTAATAGTAATCTATCTCTTCCGGTTATATATAGAGCACCGGATCTAGCCGATTTGCAAGCGCTCGGTGTAGAGGATTGTGCAGTTTATGCGCACACGGAATGCTATAGATAGACTTAAACGTTTAAGTATAATTAAGTAGGTTATATTTATTCGATTTAGCCTTTTAGAGCTGCTTCTTAAGGAGAACAAGCGCCTGCGGTGTTACCTTTTAATATAGGTTACAGAATTCGGGTTCTTTAACATTATGCGGAGTATAGGCGTGATATCTAGCCATTTTATTTTTAAACTTAGACCTAGAGTTAAGGATAAGGTTCTGTATATTAAGGAGAACATTAAATAGATAGCCAGTTAACACCTAAAGGAAGCCCTTAAGTAGGCCGTGCAAGCCCTTATTTCGCGATATAACTCTGTAAGAAATCGAATTAGTATTATATATTTCTGCCACTTCCTTATTTCTTAGTTATTCTTTAAGCTATGCTCTTATCCTCTTTAGCGCTGCCTGTTTAGTATATACGTAGACCCCGTGCAAAGTTTAGGTATTAAATTTAGATATCTTAGTATTAAGAAAAATCACTTATATAGTACTAAAGTGCCGCACCTTACAGGTATAGCAGGTGGCCTAATTCCACCTATATAGCCACCACTTATTCTCTATATATATTACCAGGTTAGGGCGCTCCTTATAGTTATTAAGTAGCTTCTTCTAAGCCTTATTAAATTAAGCTATAACTTCCAGCTTTATCGTGGCGGTCCAACAGGTAAGGAACTGCCCCCTTTTCTCCTGTTCCTTCTTCTAAATAGCTTCCTTCTCTTTATCTAATGTAGGCGCAGGTGGCGCGCTGCCTGCAGCGTATATAGGTTCCTCCTTATACACCTTAGCCAGTTTGGTAATAATATTCTTTTTAATATGCTATACACAGAGGAGGCGCGCGACCGTAGGCTATTGTTAACGTAGTGCGTTCCTTAGAGCTTGTTCTTTATCTGTTAAGAAAACGCGTGGAACAAGAAAATAGCGCTTAAAGAGCTCGAAGAGCTGCAGTACTGCCCAGTTGTAGTTCGCCTCCTTCTCTTTTAGCAGGAAACAATAGGCAATTTCAAAGTTGTTGCTAGTACACGTGACGCCGGTAATATGCAGGAAGGGCATACCGAATCTATTGGTTTTATAGGTGCAATCTAATAGAATAATGTTGTAATTAGCCCGTAGGATCTTAATAGAATCCGGATGGGCAAAGAAGAGGTGTTTAATTCGGTTCTGCTTATCTTTTGTGAAGTTGTATACGTACTTCCTATCACGGCCGTTAGGTGCCGGGAATATAGAGGTTTCTAACGTATAGAGGAGCGCCTGGATAGGCGTAAGGCCGCCGAGAAGCTCGTTCCTATACCGGGTGCGCTCATTGGTGATGTTGTGCGCCGTGATAGTAACCCCTTTCTTCAACAGCTTTGTATACGTCTTATTAGGCTTTGTTCCGCTTAATGCATCTATTCGAATGAGGGCATTCGTGGATGCCGAGCGCTTCCTATTACAGGCGGCTGCCGTAGGTTTGAGCATAGCGTTGTGATTGTTGTGAGCTTCCTCCACCGTCTCCCATAGCCAAACACGTGAGCCATCAACTCCAGGAGGCTGCCGAGTGAGCGTACCGCTCATCTTACAGTCTACTTTGTTAGTAGACGTACTGCGCACGCGTGCATGAGACTCTCTGGTGCCTCCAAAGCAGCATCGGTACCATATTTTCCTCGTTTCCTTCGTCTTTCTGTCTGGTTTTGAACGGAACTTGATGAGCCCGTAGCCCTGCGCCTTTGCATGCTCTCTAAGCACTTCCTCGGCTTCATCTAGCGTACAGTAGGACCGTGGCGGTGGTGGTTTGAGGGCCATGGTGAGTGTATTGAGGAAGTTGAGGATCAGGATGTAATGCTTTGTGGCCACGCCGCACTTGGAGAGAGCATTTGGAATTAGTGAGAAACGTAAGCGAGCGAATCGGAGGCCCCGGAGCACTCCTCCGGACCAATCAGAAGATCAGACGTAAGAAGGGTGTATACGGAGTAGAAAAGGGGTGTACACCGAGTAAATATAGGGTGTACATTTAGCAGCGCCCATTCCTAAATACTAAGTATAGTAGTATATAATAGTAAAAATCTAGCTAATTCTATTAGAGCGTTACAATTTAGCAATGTTGTTGGGGTTTTTAAGAAACCGTGCACGAGGTGGTAGCGTGCACGAGCCGGTCGCCACTTCTAAGCTTCGCTGCTGGCGAAGAGCGCTAAGCCACTTCTCCAGCCACCTACCTATCTGCTGTTGGAGATCGAGCTCCCTAAGCTGGACTGCTGACGCAAGACATCGCAACTGTTCCTTAAGTTTCTCCTATTGCTTCTGTAAAACATTATCTTGATAAGAAATCAGCCACTTGGTGTGCGAATTTTGCGATGTTGATGAGCCAGCTGTGTGCTTCCATCTGGTATGTTCGCTTCAATCGGGATGTCCGGAGTTGTGGTAATGGCTGAGAAGTGAGAGTCCTGAAGTGGAATACTTCAGCCTTGACAGAAACCTATCGGCCAATTCGCGATGGGCAGCTTGCAGACATCTGTAGCTACCTAATGCGGCGTCTTGCTCGAGCCTTGCGCTGCTAAGCAACATCAAACTAACAAAGCTTCGAATCGGCACTTATGATGAAGGACGCCATTGTACACCCCGACCTGAAGGTCACATTTGGACGCTCCCCCGTTCCCGAGCCTGGCCCTGACTAGCTCGTTATCAAGGTGGTGGTCAGCGGCTCTAATCTAAAGGACTATTCTAGTACTAAGCAGACTCTCTATTTTTGAGAGCTTCTAGTTAATATGAAGGAAGGAAGATGGGGGACTAAACAAAGACAAGTGCAAACACCAGTGATGACATTGCTAGAATAGTACATTTAGTAGCAGACCTAAAGAGACCTGAGCCGAAGTTGAGCCGGGCCTGAGCCGAACTCAGCCACAGCGGCGCAGGATCACATGAGTAGAGGTGCGTCGGGCAGCGTGCAGATTGGGGTGTTGAAACATAACCACAACAATCAAGGCATCGTCAAAACGGGACGACCGTGAGGGGCACACAATTCCGCTCAGCGCACAATGAAGGGTCGTGGAAGAGTGAAAGGCTAAAACAAGGATATCTGGAGCTCCGGAAGAAGCTCTTGAATTTGACAAATACCTTGGAGGCTGCAGCAAGTAACTACTATTACCTTTGGAGTTCTCTCCGCGTTTTTTTCCGATGGGCACTAATTCTTATGAGCAGACAGCGAGCTCTTTGACGAGATTCTGAATTCATACGAAGGTGCTCAGCAATCTGCATCCGCTGAGTCAACCGTCACGCCAAAGCCGGATGTGCCGCTGAAAACCCTCGATTCTCACCCCGCCAGGATGACCTTGTAGTCGATACAGTAAAGCCTTCGTATAGTGAGTGATACGGGTTCGTGACTAAGGGTTTATCACTGTATAGAAAATATCACTCTACGTAAAGTCACGTGTGGTGGATTTGTAAACCAGTCTATCCTAAAACAGCCTGAACCAGCCCGAAAAAGGAGCGTCCGAGGGCCACGTCGGGACCACTCTCCCAACCAAAATCCAGCTCGGTTAGTATGATATCGAATGAGAGGGGCTTAGTGATAGTATACTAAGGGGAGAGCTCAAATATAGAACATACTATCCCGCAACTTGGGGTGGATCAACACATCCTCATTCCCCACCAGCGACTCCCTCCCCTGAGCGCTCCCCGCAACCGACGGCGCCGCCGAATGCGTCGGCGTGTCGAACACATCATTCAGATAGCAGCGAGCCCGCTCGCACACGATGTCGGCATAGTACGCCGGCGGACACAAGCTCACTGCCTTGGTCGCCCGGCCGTACAGATAGCACATGGTGTGCGTCAGATCCTCCAGCACATCCGCGACATTCTTGAACGGAGCCGGGACGGCGGTCTTGTAGTGGCGGGTGAAGATCTCGTCCAGCACGATATAGTAGTGGGCCGGGCGCGCGGTACCCTGCAACGCCGAGTGTGGCTGCAGGAAGAAATCCCAGTTGCGGGCCATGGTCACGCCCCGATCAACGACTGTGCCCGGCTTTGGGTTCAGTTTGTCGGACTGCTCCAATTGCGTGGGGTAGAAGCGCGTGTGGTGCCGCTTGCCGACTACGATGATGGTGATGTTTGGGAGGCCCTTCTTCTGGTCGGGGACTGGGTAGACGTCTTTGCATGCGCTGCGGAGGAGGGGCAGTTCCTCATTCATGACTTTGCTGTACTGGCCTTCGGATACGCCGTCGCGGTAGATGAGGATGTTTTCGGGGAAGGCCGGGTGCTTTCCTTTCTCCTTCCAGAGTTTGAGCCGTGATTTCAGCATGTCGCCCAAGTCCGTGACCATTTCGTCGCGGGCCTGGCCTTGGATGCGCAGCACGGCGGGCCATTGACCGAGCCATCTGTCCACGCTGGCGACCATGCCAGCCACGCTTGGTGCGTTGGACGTGGAGCCTGGAGATGGATGTGTGACGTCGATCCCCACAACCATGGTCTTGTCCGCGTTGATGATGCCAAGCCGAGAATTGTCTACAAGTTGGTTGATTCCACCGAGCTTCAGGTTGAACTTCAGCGCAACATTCTTGAAGTACTGATCCTGGCCTCTCTCTTTGGCAAGCTTGTCCCCAAAGCTGCAGATTGTGTGGATTCCGTATTTGACGTCGGCGTACTGCTTGATCCGGTAATATTCTGAAGCATTGTCGCTCGGGAGAACAATGAACAACAAGGCGAACTTGGCATTAGCAGCGCTTTTGATGGTATTTTCAAGCTGAGGGTCGTCGGGTCCGGTTATCGATATTCTTTTGCCTTTGACTGGTTGGCTTGCAGTGATACCCACATCCAGCAGCGTGCGATGGAACTTCCCAATCACTTCAGTCAAGCCTTGCTCATCGAATGCATCCCTCTTCCCAGGTGTTGAAACCATGACATACGACCAATTCTTCAGAGACCCGGCAGTGTTGAATTTGAAATTCACCATATTCCAGCTGCCCAAACGTACTGAAGCGGTCTTTTGTTTGTAATTGACTTTAGGTTCGATAAGAACGCGTCCCGTAACGGTGATCAACTTTGGCGGGACCGAAAAATTGAAGTCAGTCTATTCCAAGGTAAGCGATGATAATAAAATGGTGTTGAAATATATACATACCAGAAGGGCATTAGTGCGGGGAGAAAGGCCGGCAGTCTCCAATCCTTCTTGAACAATCGAAGTAGCATTATCCCCTGGTCGCCTTACCGCAAACCGTATCATTTGTTGGGTTTGGCCGGCATCAAGTTTCGACTTCGAATTCTGTCCAGGCATGACATGGCAAACTTGAGCGGGGAGGTAGGTTGGGTTGGCTCTATTGCCCACATTGACCACTGGAACTCTCGGATTGGCAACGGCAATGTTGTAAGCTATCCATAAGGTTACAAGATATCTCCACACGGTGGTAGGGAAGACTCACTCTGCAAGAAAAAGTCGTATACGCTGATGTATCGGCCACCCAAGGCCGGCTTTGGGGCTCCGCTAGGACCTCCCGTTTTCCCCTTCTTCTTACCGCCACCTTTGGCAGCTATTGATGAACTGCTCGATTGAGACGGATTGTCAAGCCAGAATTCCACATCCTTTGGACCAGCCCCGTACTCACTTACCCTCGGTGGATGAGCGAGACCGTGACCGTCATTTTTGTTGGCAAGTCCAAAGATAGTCTTCACCCTATGGACGATTTGCCCTGCTTTGTTCTTCTTTTCCGGCAGATGAGTTGTTCGAATCCGGAGTTTCCCAAAGAACTTTTCCAATCTGCCCTTGTTGTAATTATGAGCAGCTCCATACTTCGATATCAACTGCTCGAGTGGTATTGCTTCATAAAAAGCTCCATGGCTGACGTTCACGTTGACCAAGATTCGACAGGTTGCAAGTCGGACACTAGTGAAGTAGCCTCGTAAGGCGGTTAGGCCGGCGCCTAGATCCCATTTGGCGGCTGAAGGGCCGAGAGAGAAGGTCTTGCTGGCGCCTATCGTCGCCAAGGCCCCAGTTGATTTTGCGTAATGGTTCAGGAATATATTCAAGCCCTGGACGAGAGGCTGCATGTCATCAAGAGGTTGTGACAGGTTAGTGGACTCCAAATAGTCCACGAGCTGAGCGGTAGACAGGGCATTTGTGTATCGAACCCGGGCCTGGTACTGAGTGGCTTCCTCCCGGGGTTCGTCCTGATCTTCAGCACGGTATCTGATTCGGACCAGAAATTCGTCGCTCTCCAACTTACGGCACGATAGCAGAGTAGATTTGAAGTCTGTGATCAAGTCCGAGCGGAATTGGGCCAACGCTTCTGTTTCTAACAGGAGACGCACAATCTGAGTCAACTTCTTACCTGCGGCGCTTGGCGATACAGCTATATCGTATCGATACAGCATGAGATCCGGCGGAGGAATCATCTCGACATAGTTGGCCCACAGCTTCACAGGGGTGCCTCTGGTACCATAGCCAGGTCGATGAGGGAATCCCTCAGTCAGAGTCAGTGCGGCAAGAGCAGCTGGACCTCCCGCCGATTTTTGGATGGCATCCTCAACCTCTGCGACGCGCGCATCCGGCGCTGGGATAACTTTGTCTGGTGGTCTGAGTCCGTATTAGCCAAAAGCGACGGATTTCACGTCGACAATAACCTACACGTAGATTTGTACCTCTTCCTGGACAGGCCCGCGGCCACCACCACCGCCGCGGCCAGCTCCACCAGGCCCACGTCCGCCACGATAGCCCCCGCGATCTCCAAAACCACGGCCTCCACGGCTCGTCCCGCGGTTGCCTCCGAATCCTCGTCCGCCTGGCGCCGACATGATTCAGAGGTTGTAGGCTGCGGTGCAGTGAAATGAAGAGCTTATAGCTTAAATAGAGTAGTGAGCGACAGTCAGAGGGAAGGCGGATCAAGATAAGGTATGTAGCCAAAAGCTGTTGTATTGATGAAGGTGAGGAAGCTAGCTGTTGAACGGGAGGAAAGATATACACAAGGTGCTGAGTAAGCCTGCTAGAGAGGAAGGGGCCGACAGTAGTACTCGCGTCGTGTCTGAAGCGTAGTTATAGCACCTTGTGACTCATTCTGGCCAAGCCCCTGCTAGTCCCGCGTTGACGCCCTCGTCTGCCCCGGGTTATACAGCATACCATCACGTCCGGTGAACTAGCGCGAAAACTGAGTCGACCCCAGTAAACCGCCTTTTTTGGGTCAATGTTGAACTGGGTTGAAGATTGATTGGCCATTCCATTTTAAAGGCGTCCGGAAACACTACCTTATACGGTAATTGTGTCTAGATAGCCCTTTGTGCAGAGTGGATAGACTTCCCCATTTTGTACGATGAGATTTGCATGGCGGTCTGTACCTCAAGATTCGGAGGCTAGCTAGCTTGTTTCGTCTTCACAGCATGGAATCCTGAGTACTACTCCCGTGATTGTGAGAAATCATCTCACAACAGTACAACTAGCAATCCCCGTTGTCTCCATGCCCCACTTCTCCATATTCCAAGGATGTGGGGAGCAAGCTTCGGAGGCCACGACATGCTTCAAGTAAGAAGCTCGGCTAGTATCCGAATGCGTGAAAGTCGCAGCCAAGTAGGCCGGGGCCCCGTCATCAGTCCATGACGAGCAGAATGTTTGAAGGCAGGCATCATCTATAGATCGTGAGGCGGACCTGGAACAAATCTGAACGAAAGGGGATGTGACGACGCTATGCCTGTCCAATGCGAAAAAGCGCCAGCAAAATCCAAATGAGTCCCTGGAAGCACCACAAGAACTTGAGAAGTCACTTCGTCCTAGCGTCTTACATCGCTTTCCATTTCCTAGAAGTCGATGGGGACGCTTCGTCTGAATACAAATACTCTATGTGCACGGTACTCTATCATAATCAAGATCATCATCACACAACTCGGGTTGTAACAGCTACAACCTAGGATCAACAACTCATACGGTTCACGGTCACCTACGTACAGCGTGGCGAGGTCCTCTGTTCAGCTACACCAGGGTCCTCTCAGCTGGGTTCGTTCCTTTCAGCTGGCCTCTATTCAGCTGAGCTGATAGACCTAGGGGGTGGGCCATTTCCTATTAGTATATATTCGGCCCGTACGGCCACGACAATACAAGCAGAGTTCACATCAATTTCAACCTGAGTACACAAGAGAAAGCTGGTTTCTCATACTAGCACCGTCCTAGTTACACAAAGACCACACCAACCCTCTCGTTTGGCTGGGCCATCGACCTCTAAACCCTAAGACTCGATTGCACTTAACCTGAAGACTCTCCTCTATAGTACCAGGACCATCCCAATCCACACTCATTATACGGACCTGAGATCATGAAACTCTGCCTGAATCTATGTCGAGTTTCATCTCGTCGTCCTCGCCGTCGGAGCCGTAGACGCCACCATCCTCTTCGTCGTCGGAGCTGTCGAGGTCGGTGTCTTCGTTGCCGTTAGAGCTGTCGGATTCGTTATCGGAATCGCTATCCTCCTCATCGTTGACGCTGTCGAGGTCGCTTTCCTCCTCGCCGTCGGAGCTGCCGGAGTCGTTATTGTTCCCGCCACTACTTTCGCTACCCAAATCGTCCATGGAGACATCTTCGTCGCGACTGCTGTCGCCGGCTTTCACGGCCGCCCACGTTTTGCCGTTCCTTAATGTACGAAGCTCCGGTGCTGAACTAGATCCTGACGATGAAGTAAGCCCCGATGATGAAGCAGACCCCTGAAAAGAAACGGCGTTGTCCCGACTGGGAGAATCCATGGGATGCGCAGGTGGAGATTTAGAAGCCAAGTTTGAAACAATTCCGGCTTCGCTGCCGATGTCCGGGCCATCTAAAAGGACTCCATCGGGTGTTGTATATTGCCAGTCCTTCAAGTGTAGCTGATAGCCTTCATGATTAAATCTAAAGTGTCGCGCCATGACTGATCGGCTCGTATATCGAGACTTGCAGCCTGCAAATGGGCAGCCGTAACGGTTAGTCTGCGTCGAGAAGTCTGGAAATTGCCGCTTAGGAGCTGGGTCCTTCTCGACATCCTGCCCGTCTACTCGGACTCCCTCGGGTGTTGTATACTGCCAAGTTCTGTAGTGAAGCTGGTAGCCTTTATGAGCTTTTTTGAAGTGTCTCGATATGTGCCCCGCCTGCGAATATTGAGATTTGCAGCCCGCGATCGGGCAGCAGTAGCGAATCGCGGCTTAAAAACGGATTTCTTCTCGATGTCCTGTCCTACTATTAGGACTCCCTCTGGTGTTGTATATTGCCAGTCCTTCAAGTGTAGCTGGCAACCATTATGAGTCTGCTCGAAGTGTCTGCTCACGTCGAAGAGCTGCACAAACTGATACGTACAGCGTAAAAACGGGCAGCCATAACGGTTAGTGTGTCTCGAGAGTCTTGAAAGCCGCTCGGGTTGTTGCGGAAGGTCCGGGTATAGATCTTTGACAATATCCTGTCCATCCATTCGAACTCCCTCGGCTGTTGTATATTGCCAATGCGCAAAATGGGCCTGATAACCCCTATGAGTCTCCTTGAAGTGCTTATATAAGGACGTGTCTCGCGCATATCGAGACTCGCAGCCTGGGATAGGGCAGCCGTAACGGTTGTGGTGTACCGAGAGTGGACCCAGATCTCTCACAACATCCTGCCCAGCCATTTGGACTCCCTCGGGTGTGGTGTATTGCCAACTTGGTATGTGAACATGGAATCCGTTATGAGCCAGCCTGACGTGGTGATACAAGTCCACATCCAATGAACATCGGAATTCACAGCCTGCGATCGGGCAGCCATACCGCTTAGGGTTAGCGTTCCTCTGTTTGGGTTTGCGTAGCTTGGGTTTTCGTAAGGTATCGATCAGGGGTTCAGAGTTGGAGGTTTCATCCAGGCCTCTCACTATCGTCTGCCCAGCCATCCGTACTCCATCAGGCGTCGTATATTGCCAGTGCGGTAAGCAAAACCGGAACCCCGTATGACGACGTTCAAAGTGGTGTTTCACTGTCTGAAGCTGTACAACCAACTTGCAGCCTAAGACTGGGCAACTGTAATGGCTGGTATAGCTCAAATTTTGCTCTGGCTTTCGTGGGTTATTATCCAATAGGATGGGATACAATGACGGAGGTTGTATAGGCCCAGAATGAATACTTGGATGAAAAATTCTCACGATGTCCTGTCCAGCCATCTGGATTCCATCGGGTGTCGTGTATTGCCATTTGCATAGATCAACAGCAAATCCCTCATGGGCCTTTCTGATGTGAATCTGCAAGCTTCGGAAATGCCAATAACGATCTCTGCATTCTTGAATGGGGCAACCAAAGATTGGGGCAAGCCCGTTCAACATGCATCGTTCTTGAGAATCGATGTTTAGTCTGCATCGGTTTCGAAAATCGACGTTCAATTTGCGTCGTTCTTGAGAATTGACTTTCCATTTGTGCCGTTTTTGAGAATCGATCCAGGCGGTAGGATTAATTGCCGGAATTGAACTATTCACAATAGTTCGACCAGCCATCTGGACGCCTTCGGGTGTTGTATATTGCCAATTCGGTAAGTCAAGCACAAAACCCCCATGGAATCGGAGGAAGTGCGAACTCAAACTCGGAAGCTGCAAATATCGAGTAACGCAGTCTACAACAGGGCAGCCGTAATATAAGGTACCAATCAAGTTCTGCTCCATGTCTTGTGGACCATCATTTGATGAACTGGGGTCCAGTGACGAGGAGTGCATCCGCTCAGAACCAAGAAGGGGGTGCAGAGTTTTCACGATATTCTGCCCGGCTATCTGGACCCCCTCAGGCGTCACATATTGCCATTTCCGTAAATTGATATTGAACCCGTCATGATCACACTTTAAGTGCCACCTCAATTGCATGTAACTCCAATACCGATCTTTGCAGCCTTGAATGGGGCAACCGTAGATGCCGGTCGCGGTCTTAACCACTCGTCGTCGACGAGGGCGTCGGGGCTTAGGACTGAGATCTGGACGCAAAGCTTCCGCGATTTCCTGCCCAGGAATTTGCACGCCTTCGGGTGTCGTATATTGCCACTTCGGTAAGTCAATCTGAAAGCCCGCATGCATCCGCGCAAAGCGTTTTTCGAAGTCGATCATTCGTGAGTCGCAACCATGAACGAGGCAACGGTATTTGTGTTTCGTTGTCGCAGTGACGGCATCCCCAGAAGTGGCCATAGTCGTAATTGACTGTCCCTGTTGAGCACTGCCGAGAGAATTTGCATTCTGTAAGAGCTCTGACATATTGTCACGATCAGAAGAGGTGATCGTAAACGTTGGTGATTCTTGCAAAGACTGTTGAAGAGTAGCGGTAGTCTGGTGAGTGTCCGGCGTAGTATTGTATTCCAGAGAACTCGCACCAACCGCCCGTGACTTGCATTGGTAGGGCGATATATACGCTGATGACCTTTGCGAAGATTGTTCAGGAAATAGGGTAAGTGGCAGCCTAGGGGGTTCGGGTACGTAGTCATTGCTCTTAGAGCTGAGTCCATGTGCCAGTGATCTAGATTGTTGAGGATTTGCGAGAGGTGTCGCAGTTTGGGGAGCTTGGGCATTCGGCCTAGCCTTTGCCAACAACATCCGTCCTCTCTCTATCATGGCTCGTTGATTGGCCACTCCCGGGGGCAGCGTCAGATCGTGGAAAGGGCGACGAAAAACAGCGTCTGAATACTCAGAGCGCCGGGTTTTGATTTCTAGAGCGGCCTCGGTTTTGGTTTCTAGAGGCGAAGCCCCATACAGGGGTGTAGCACCAGGAATATGAGGAGTGAATTGAAGATGGTTTTCGGAGCGTTGAGCGGGCGACTGTTCGGGCCATTGAAGATACGCTGGCGCGACTGGAACGGCACCAAGGCTATAGAGGTGATGGTCTTCCAATGCGGAGGCACCTTGCGCCAGCAGCTGGCGGCTGACTTCACGATGGAGTTCCTGGCAAACCGTGTCATTAAGCCAGCTCCCCAACATTACGGCAGCAGGTACTTACTTCTTTGGCGTTGCCAATGTCTCTAACCTCGTATTCGAGCGCTTGCGCTTCGGAAATCTTTGTCTTCAGCCTCGCTTTTGTCTCGAGCTCCACCTGCTCGATCGGGCCTAAGGGTTGCTCAGGGCGGCCGGTGGCAGCTAGTTGGTAAGTAGTCTTTCCATTCGCAAGATATTCAAGGTGACGTTCCAGGAGATTGACTGCTAGTCTTGCCTCCTGTAGCCTCTCGTGTGCATCTCCTTCCGCACGCTGTACACGCTCCACCGCTTCTGCGAGGGTGCGAATGTCGTCTTGCGATTCCATTCCGAGATGTATATGGATATCGACTAGGTGGGGTGTGGATAAAGGGGCATGTTCGTCTAGGGTGCTGCGGTAAAAGGGAAGTCGTGTTGTTGTCCGACGCCACAAGTGCTCTTGCGGGTTGACGCCAAGGTCTTTGGAGGTTTATTTTATAGGGGTCCGCCTCGCGCTTCCACGTGATCAGAGTTTTCCATCTTAGTCACCTAAAGCTCTGATGACACGAGACTAGGCACAGGCTTAGGAAGAAGTCTGTACGCTCACCGCTTCTCGATGTGCTTCAATCCAATATCAGAGATGCAGATTCTCCGACGGGGTCAATCAGACGAACTCTTGCATGCTCGCAAACTCGCAACGACAGTCACAGGACTACATAGTGAAGAGGAGTAGCAAAGGAGTAGCAGCAAGCAAAAGGAATAACGGAGTCGAAATTTTTGAAACATTCATTGTGGTATCTGAAGTACTGCTTTTAGGGGGATTGAAGTGCCTTATGGCGTACAGTTATGAAGTTATAGAAGTAAGTAGACCGTACCAAGACCGTCAATGAAGAAAACTATCTTTTTTGCTTGACACGACCTACTGTCACTATGCTAGAAAACACTCGTCTCAGGCGCCAGCCGCCACAGATGTACCAGTGGTAGGTGCTATCGATTTAGCTTTCAGATCTTCCTCTTCCAATTGCTGTCTCTTTGCCGCTAGAACTGCGAAGTTCCGCTTCATTGCGCTCGCTGTGAACTCCGCACCAGTAACAGGAGGATACTTCTTCTTAGGACCTTGGATGACAGCGTCTGAACATGGCTGGTTGAAATAGGCCATGCTGTACCTCGGCCCGAAATAATCGCCTGGCTCGCACGGCGCCTTGACCCTGTGGAAGGTCGACTTGAATCGATCGTCTGACCACGACATTAGGAGATCCCCGATGTTGCAGACTATATCTCCAGCTTCAAGATGCACCTTCGACCAGGTATCACCCTGTGCGAATTCTGTCACGACCTCGCGTCCTGGGCATATCTCCAGCCCGCTTTGGCCCTCGCGCTGGAATAGCAGCGTCAAGAAACCCCAGTCCGCGTGTGCACCAGCCCGGTGGTATACCTTCCCGTCCGACACCTCTGGGAGCTCAAAGTAGTGTAGGAGTCGTAGCACCGACTGCACGTTCTCCCGGCTGACATCGTGAAGCTTGATGAAGTAGTCATCAGGGAAGCCCAAGCCGCGTGCGAAGCAGATCATGAGCAGCTCCGAGACCTGACGCACGCGATTCATGAAGGCCAGGCTCTTCTCCTTAAACTCGGGGAGGTGTGAGGGGGAGATCCAGGTGTCGTTCATATAGGACCCGAACTGCAGCTGATAAGACTCTTTCGTGTCCGGGGCACCGGTAGAGGGTCGAATTTGGGAATTCTTCTCCCATCCGACATTGTTGGGGGACCATGGGACCTGAATGACGCGTCGTATATCAGTATATGAGAGGGAATGTAATGGTAGTGACGGCGCGCCTTACCGTTGCTTTCACATCGTCAGGCAGGGCAAAGAAGCTCTGAGATTGAGCAAACATGTCCTCGATCTCTTGAATCGAGATGCCATGGTCGACGATGGAGAAGAATCCGACGTTCTCAGAGGCGTCGCATAGTTGGGCGGTGATGGCGTCGATATTGTTCTCGAAGTCGGAAAGCGATATTCTGGGGATGGCTCGCTCTCGGTACGTGGTTTTAGCTGCCATTTTGCAGTTCAAGACCGAGTGGATGAGTATATAATCTCTAAGCGTCGAAGAAATTGTGTGTTTGGATGTCTATTCAAAAGCGCATTTCTCAGGCTGTCCCCGCATCCTTTGTACCTCGAGCAATATGAGACTGCGGTCATCAGTTACGGGCACTCCCGACAGACTCACTCCTGCAGCTCATGCTGCATCGTGGGATTGGTATTTTGTCATGGTTCAGTAGGCATAAGTGTACTGCAATATAACAGCTGGGTAGTATTTCTACTGGTATTTTGTGCTGCCGTTATACTGTTCCGCGCTATCTATCTCAAACTAATCACCCAAAAACATCGATCTCCCACCTTTTGATAAGAAGAAAAGCAGCCGGCCGAGAGCCCGAAAACCTTCGGCCGCAGCCCGATTTTGCCGGAACTCCATCTCTCCTCCACCTTCCATGGCGACCGCCCGCAGACGCCTTGCTTGCGCAGATTGCACCCGACGAAAAATCAAATGTGATAAGGAGATTCCGTGTAGCAATTGCATCAAAAGGTAAGTCGGCGTCCCCCGTTTCCTCTCCTATGAGCTCGCGTTCTTTCAGTTGTATTGGTAAGTTGCTTAGACATCTATCTAGGGGAAATCAAGATGCTTGCACCCGCGATGTCGAATCTAATAGTTACGTATTTACACCGCCTCTAGAAGTGCACCATGGAGAGTCAGCCGTCGTTGAGACACTGTCGAAACGAATTGCTGAGCTAGAAGCGCGACTGAACTCCACGGGAGCAATGCGCCCTTCCATGCCTGCCATGCCTGCTCCAGGCTCTCGCTATGTGCCGCCTCTAGCTTCGTCGTCTTCGGGCTTAGCCCACACGGACACACGTCCAAGGCAAGGCTCCGAGATCGAAGACGCAGCGTCCATCTTAGAGTTCCTTGCATGGGGCCGGATGAAGAATCCTGACCACCACGAAGCAATTCAACCTAAGAGCCCAGCGGCAGGGGCCCCTGGAGCAGGTGGAGCAGAGAATGCCATGTCAGAGTTGCAAGTTTTGCAATTGCACCTACCGGATCGGCGCCAGGTGTGTCAATTAGTAGACTGGCACCTCGAAAGCCTACTTTGGTACCACGGCTCTTTCCATGCTCCTACCTTTCGGAGCCAGCTACAGGAATTTTACGATACCCACAACGGCTCTATTTTGAGCTCGGGTATATCCCTTCAATGGGCTGCCTTGCTATTCTCTGTCTTGGCTGGCTCTTTAACTTGCGCTAATCGACAAATTGCTCAAACATGGGGGTTCATGGACACCGAGCAAGACACGCTTTCACATCGCTGGTACCAAGGAACGATCACTTGCTTATACCGCGGCGAGTACATGGCGCATTACTCCTTGGATTCGGTGGAAGCGATCGCAACTTTGACGATCTCCGCTCATATGATTGGGTACTCCAATCAACAGTCTATCCTTTTAGCTTCCGCCATCAAGATATCGCAGAGCCTGGGACTGCACCGTTTAGGCCCTGAGCCAGCCCATGCTAGCAAAAGAGACTTCCGCGGACGGCGGGTTTGGGCACAGCTATGCACGCAAGACTGGTTCTCGATTCCATTTTCCGAAAGCTACCTGATTCAGCCCTTACACTCTAATACCGAGAAGCCAGGCAATCGAAATGACGATAGTGCCGCGATTATTCCAGATTCTCAACCGACCATTCTCAGCTATCCAAGATACTTACTGGAAGTCGCATACGTCATGCCGCAACTTCAAGACGCCGTTGGGGCTTCCAACACACTCTACACTAAATATGAGCAAGTATTGAGATATGACAAGCAAATGCGTGCTTTGGCTACTGCTCACCGACCCCAATTTCTCTCCAACGTGCAGATTGATCCTGCTTGGCCTCACTATGTGCCGTGGGCCCGAAGAGCCCTTGCGATTAGTTACTCTCACAAAATATGTATGATTCATAGAGCGTAAGTCGCCGATAAAGTCCCTATCTTAGCAGAGCAGACAGTTAGATCATATGCGCTTATTTGCCACCGTCTGGGATGCCCCTCTTTATGAGCAAGACTCGGACGAAGCACGAGGTCTGCCCAGGGAAAATTCAGCCCCGATTTGAATCACGTGATTCATACAGCCCTTCATTGAGCTCTCTAGAGAGGCCGCATTTAACATTCATGAACATTTCCAAGCACTAAAAAACTAGTCATCGCGAACTAGCAACTTTGTGCTCCATCTGCAAGCAGGGTGCTGACTATCGTAGGTTTCTGGGACTAAGCTTCACGAACCCGGCCTTTTCGATTACTCGGCGGACGTGTATTGCCGCCGCAAAAACAATCCTAAAGGAACATACACAAGCCGTTGAAGAGGACGGGCCAGTATTATGGATTTATCCCGCATTCAGGTGAGCAGTGGTCAGACTATTCATTGAGATTTTGCATTTGCTGATTTTCTTTTAGCGTCGCTGCCTGCATCATACTTTGCCTGGACGTCTTCCACCGAACGCCTGAGGAGCCAGAAACCTCCGAGCATAAACTCCTAGTCGAAGAAAGCATAGAGATGCTAAAGCAGTATAACCAAAGCGCCATCGCAGCTCGTGGCGTCAAGCTCCTATCAGAGCTGCTCGAAGCCATTGACCGCAGCCGTGCAAACTCCCAAAAGCGTAGAGCGGGCTCACCGAGCCATGACGAGTCTAACGGAAGCGCGGAAAAGCGACGGCGATTTCTAGACATGCCCAAGTTTGTGAAGTCGTTTTGGGGTCGCGATTCTCAGCCCTCAGCAAGCGGCAACGAAGAATTGCAATTGGTCGACTCCGGAGACGATGCAGTTATCGATCCGCTACTACGAGATGCACCTCCCGGGGACAACGATGAGCTGCGACTGGACTTTCCTAGCGAGGATTTGTACGGCACCTTTCCACTATCCCAGGCGCCCTTTGATGGCGCAAGCACATTCGAACAACTTTTATTCCTCGCAGGTGGCTTTGGCGATTGAAACGTCGGTGCCCAAGTCATTGCTTGACACCGTTTAGCGTGCTTCGAAAAGTTCCCAACCTCTAAAAACGTGTGACTCTCATCGAATCGAAGACAGGGCTCGCTTCCCATTGCTGATGATGGTCCGTCTGCCCTATCGAGGCAGCTCAGGAAAATCCGTCCATCAATCTTCACTCGACGACTTTTTTCCACGTGCTATTCGGAATGCACCCCGTGAATAACGAAAAGGCGGGGACCTCGCGGCGGTATTCCGCCTGATACACATGCCGGTCGCATCCCCGAAAGTCGGGAACATTCCTCGCCGCGTGACATCGCCTCACAAGACGGAGGTCGGAAGGCGCATCGTAGCATGTGAAAGGGGGAATGACTGTCCACGTATACACAGCACTCTCTTCTCGCGCAATTCCGGGTCCGCCGTTGGTCAGAAGAGCACGCTGGCGACAGGTGTATGGACGTGTCTTCCGATCCCCGACCGTCACAATCCGAATTCTGCAGTCGGAGAAGGAGAAATCCGGAAGATGAAATGCTCTCCATGGTAATCATGGCGGAACACGTCCACACCGCTTTCTCCCTCGTGCCCTCTCCGTGTCGTTCTCGATCAGAAGCCCGATGTGCTCCGCTCTCGCATACGTGGCCACGGCGGTAGATTCCGTGATTATCCATGGCCGACAGGCGCTGGGAGGGGGCAGACGGGATATGTAAGGAAGGCTTTGCCCCCCTCTGAGAGTCTTTTTTTTCTTCATCGGATGGGCTTCAGCTGGGATTGGGCTGGGAGTTGTGGAAGAAGGGGACTGTGGTCTAGTAGGCCAACCCATGGGGAAATTTGTGGGAAGTTTGGGCCTCTAGAAGATGGTCATCAATTCCGTCTGGGCGGCTGGATAGGAATCGAAACGGTCAATTGACCTGGTGCCGAAAAGGAGAGATAGACGAAGAATGGGTAGTTGGGAGCTGTTTCCTGTCTTGGGTCGCCTCCGCAGGAGGCAGCACAGTTCAAACAGTCTCGGCACAGGGATTCATGGGCCATTGCAGCCAGAGTCAGATAATGAGACAAACTGTGGCAACTCTACATGTCAAGCCAGATCGCATCAAAGGGAGGGCTAGCTTTTAGCAACAGTTACCAGGCCGAGTCCTCATGAGAGGTGACGTTCATTCAGCACGTCCAAGATCAAATGGCAATGGTACTCCGTCTGGTACTGTCCAAACTTCCAGCGAGCGTAATGTCATGTCCAGGCGACTCTGTTTCGATACGGCATGTAGAGTTCAGAGTATGGATCTGGCAGAGGCTTCTGTGGTTACTCATTTTTGCGGGAGGTCTCTGATGGCTGGTGGTGGGTCGAGTCCAGAGCGTCTTCATCTCAGCATACAACAACTTCCAATAGGCCGAGCCCAGGTGTTCCGTCGCAAAAGCTGCCAGTCGAAGTTATGATGGTCGCCTTTGAGTAGTCTCGTTGTCAAGAAATGAGACTGGCCTACCGTTTACGAAATGGGTGCTTTGGAGTTGTTGCCATTCCTCGAAAAATCGTCTGCATGGTACTCATGTCCCTGTCATGGGACTGCCTTCGAACTGTCTGTATGATGAGGTGGTCTTGTCGAATGGCCTGGGTTGTGAAGATGCTCCTCCGCCGCCTTAGGCAGAAGTTTCAGAATCGTCGTCGCCTAGGAACTATGGAGTCGCTGAAAAAGAGTTTAAAAGTATCGCAGGATCGCGTGGACTTTTGTGGCTGGATCCTCACCGTGGGACGAATGCGATGAGCCCGTGCGCGGACGAGTTGCATAGTTCAAGCAAACTCTCAACCATATCATGGGTCATGTTCCCGGTAGACCTCTTGGCTCAACCCTCCTAGACGACGAGTTCATGAGCCGTTCGCCTGGCGGAGATCCCTAGATCGTAGTGTAGAGTCCTTGCTAAGTGCACAGACTTCGAAAAGACGGCTGATACATTCACTCTATGTGTCAACCACTGGCTCGAAAGAGAATTATGTGCTGTGTGTTCGTTCAGACTTTAAATACCTACCTCGGGCGATTTGATGGGCTTCGTCATGAACGCTGTCGAGCTGCAATTTATAGCTAGTTCGAGTCTCGAGCCCGGACTTCCTTTCAAATCCAAGTCCTGGTATCGCATGTAGGGTCGCCGGTTCTAATATTCGCGCTTGAAGGCTCCATGAGCCGTCCTACATATTCAACATTAAATGTGGACACCCAGCATGGGTCCTGCCTGTACCCAGTCCCTCGTTCCAATTTCAAAGCAAAGAAGAAATGGTTCAATGTGTGTTTCTGGTCTGGATCTTCGGTGCCAGAAACTTCATGGAATCATGCAAGCCATGTTTCCTGTGTCCAGGTAGAGTCGAACCCGGAAGAATTATAAATCAATGATTCGCAATTCCGGCCTCTTCAACTGTACAAAGTCCCGATATGACGGATGCGTAATTCTGCGCTGGAGTCCGCGGCGCCGGCAAATCAAATATCTCCCGCCTCAACCCCGAAGAGCAGCTTGCGATGGGTGGTTCTGGCCTGGACCCTCGGCGCCAAAACACGTCCGGAGTCCGAACGATGAGTCTTGTGTCCGGTGGAGTTGTGATCAGAAGACCGGCCGTACCTATGAGTCGTACTCAACACTTCCAAATACTCATGCAAGAGCAGTGTGAGACGTCGGAGCTCCTGCACCGAATACGCGCCACCAGCATGATCACTTTTCCTCGGCATTTGTGCAGGCCAACCGTGCTATTATGTGTTCCTGGTCTGGATTCCCGACTTCAAAACGACTATACCTCACGCGCCTATGAGTCGTGTGTGTGGTGGGGTCTTTAATTCAAAAAGGGAATTGCCAAGTGTATGAGTCGTAATTCCTCGCGGTCTCTTCCTATGAAAGAGCAGCTTCGACGATGGACGATTCTGTGCTGGAATCATCGACGGCAATGAGACCTGCTGTTACATGAAGCCATGAGTCGTGCATTCGTCTGCACAAACAAACGCCCTTATGGAAGGTATTGATGAGCACAGAGACTACATGCCCGAGAACTGCTGAAAAACGAGAAGATAGATACGCTACGATGGAATTTTCCTCTTTGTGGTGACTTGAAGATTCGTGGTGATTGATGAATGTGATGGGTTTGCTGAATGAGATCGAACTAAGTGACGAAATTAACGAAGCGTGTGCATATGACTGTACAGTGGTAAGCAGCCTAAAAGGCGCACCTAGAGCTGAAATTTTGAGTCAATTCAGATAAGCTATCGTACCAATACACCCTGTCCTATTCAATCTTCCACCCTTCGCTATTCAAAAAAGCCCCTTGTCCATTTCCAAAATTACAATTGTTCTCCAACCCATCCCCACCATTCCTGCACATCTGCCCCCTCCCCTTTATCCCCCTTCACACTCCCCCCGGCAACCTTGACCTCAATATCCGAATCCTCCAACATCTTGAAATTAAAAGCGCCTTCATACCCATCTGCCAACCCCTCCCGCTCCTCCTCCTCCCCGTCCCCAGCACTCAACTCAATTCCCGAATCCTTAAGCGCCCGCCCCCTAGTCTTCCTGACTTCCTCAACTGCCTTCTCTAACCGAATCTTCACCAGACTCTCTGGCAACGCCGTAAATAGATCCATTTTATTCGCCGCTACTAGCACAGGGATCGCGGTTGGCCCTTTTGAGGTTTTGTTCCCCGTATGCCGTTTCTGTAACAGTAGCAGGATGTCATGCAAATACTCTCCAGCCTCCGCCGCCCCTGCGTCTTCCCCTAACGCTGCGGCATCCAGCACGAAGATTATGCCCTTGAGCGCGCCCCCTGGTCCGGTCTTCGCGAGGGTCGAGAGCGCGTAGTGGCGCAGCTTCCCGTGGCCGGGGGTATCGAGCAGACGGAACTTGCGTGCACGGTCAGCGGAGGGGTCGTTGTTCGACCGGTAGCGGGAGGAGGCGGGTGTCGTAGTGATAGGGAGGGCTAGACTCGCGGCTGTCGGGGTCGAGGAGGTGTGGGTTGCGGAGGGGGTGCCGTGGGAGAGCTGTGAGAGGTGGTGGTCAGCGAACGGTCTGTCGGGACTTTGAAGGGCTCGAAGCTGTAATCAGAATCTGAGTGTTTGGGGACTCTGGTCCCAAGATCGGCCAGCCCAGACGGCACTAATTTCCGCCTCTGTTAAATTAGGGCTGGGTGAATGGTGACAGCGGTGAAGCTGACAGTCCTCGTCTTTGGGACCCTTCCTTCGGGACGTGAAGACGCCGACAAGGCGTTCTCCCCAGGATCGAGACGAGTGCGGGCTGAGCTCGTCGGGGACCAGCTCGACGAAGTCGCACTCACCAGCGTCAGCAAGCTCGTCTTGCCCGCGCTGCTGGGCCCAATCAGCAGAAACGTCGGCAAGCTGTCGGGCGCGCGGCGGCGGTAGATGTAGGCATGCAGCAGGATCGGCAGCGTAATCACGACGAGCAGCGCCAGCGCGAGCGTGCCCGGGTGTGGCGCGAAGGCGAGCGTGAGCCAGCTGTCAGCATCGTGCCAGGCCATGCTGAGGACCTGGGAGAGGGCGTGTTCGAGCGTGTGGAGATTGAGCGGGTGAGGTTGTCGTTGGGTCCGGCAGGGTGAGACGACGTGGTCGATGTGGGGATTGCCCGAGTCATTGCTGGTGCGCCGTCGTAGATCTGGTGCGGGTATGGCGGCGGGCGCTAGCGAGCTTATTCTGTCCTTCACAGTCGGCCTGTTGGCCCAGCTCTCGCAATGCTCGCGACAGATGCTGACCAACATCTCCGCAGATGGGTTGTAGTGATTAGGGTATTGCAGTCCAACGGGGACAGTTTCAATCGCATTTCGTTCGTGCAAAGATCGCCCACATCACCAACATCCAACCATGCACATTACAGTCAGATCCAGGATGGTTCAAGGAAGAGGGCCGCCTGCATTCGTCAAACTACATAGATGCTTTTGATAGGAAACTGTAATCATACACAGCACACTGCCGCCGTCATTAATGCACTCATCCAGTGTCCATCTCTTCTCGCCCTCATCCCATGTTGCTCTATGCAGGCCTCCTCCACCTCTTTCACCGACGTTACAAAGCATCGTCCAAATCCCCATCGCTGACCCCATCGCGCGGCCGATCCGTGTGGCTGACCATCACGACAAAACATTACAGGTCGACGCAGGAAACGTGGACTGAAAACAAGTAAAGGAGCCGGTATACCTGTAACCGACATACTCCATGCCAGGAGTTTTCGCCCTTTTGCACCGTAGCCCATGATCCATGCCGATACCATACCCATGACCCGTAACCCATTGTCCATACAGTGCAGTGACCGTTTCCAGATATCCGTGCCTTAGTGTTACCCTTTTCCTAATCCTGATACCTAGATCTCATGACCGTTACAAAAGAAATAAAAAAAAGATTTGCAAGGTGCAAGCTACAACATATGAAATGAAGTTTACGACAAGAAAGCAAGCGTTCAGCCAATTTCGTGACGGTCATACCTAGGTAGCATAGAGGGCAGATGACAGATGACAAGTTCGAAGGAGATGCGACTTGTAGTCGACAGAACCTGAGGTAGACTTGGAAGCCGGCCGTCTGCACTCGGTAATCTTTTTGCAATACGAGCTGCGTGACCGAATCGGAAAGCCCGGCACCAGATGCAGGGGATTCTTTCGTGGTTGCTGCATGGTCTGTGGCTCTCAATACGATCCCAATACGGCGGCCTACCAGGCATAGCGATTGCTAGTATCGAACGCCCCGTTCCAATTTACATCGCTGTGCCTACGCCCTACCCGTGCCGAGCCTACGAAAGTGCAAGAGGCTCAGCTCGATGGAAGCGCTTTATGGCTTGGCGGGTTGATTGCCAGCTTGATCGGAGCCCGAAGCGGGATGTGGTAATAATGACTCGAAGATGAACTTCGTTAAGGAGAACGACTTGGATATGGTGATAAGTATGTTGGGTGTATAAACGCAGAACCCTTCCAGATTGGGCATGGCGTCTTGTTCGTCTTCTCACTCGTAGTCGTCATGCTGCGTAATGTAGATGCATGGCATTTACTTTTGGATTCGTGGAAGGGTGTTTGGTGCTCAATACGTGGTGTGGTTAGTATGAGCAGCGAGGAGGTCGGGGTAGTAGCCACGGCTGGATTCTATCCCTTGGAAGCGGCCGCACCCTCCACCCTGCCAGCCAGTCGAAACCGACTCTTCCTTGATCCTTCGTGCCTCCTGAAATGATGCTGGAGGTGGTTTGTCTTGGGAAATGCCGGCGTCGTAGAGCGGACTGGGATAGTACTGGTAGCCGTCGTACCCATCGATCGCTTTACTTTCATCTTCGTCCATCATATGCTGGTCTCCAACCAAGCCCTCTACTGGACCTCCACTCAATGAGCTAGCTGAGCTAACTGAGTGACTCCCTACTGGGCTGGGGTCCAATGAGTATTGGTTGCCGGGACGATAACCTCCCGCACCGTATCCGCCAGACAACCCACCACCGCCTAAGCCTCCAGAGGGCATGAAGCGTTGTAGTCCCCCAGGGCCGTAATGAGGATGGCCAGGTCCACCAGGGCCTGTTCCCCCTCTCCCTGAATTTCCGGTGCCATGTGGTCCTTCATTTTGGTAGTGGCTTGGTGAGCGACCACGTACAACAACGGGCTGAGACACCCGCTGTGCGACTTTAAACCAGTTGGGCTTATCATCACAGCCTTTCTGTATGTTGACCCACAGTTCCACAATCAAGTGGTAGTACTGCTGTTGTGCCCGACGTTTTCCATTGTTGGCCGTCGCAGACTTGAACTGAATTCGCTCAAAGATGTGTTGATGCGTGGCCGCGGAGTGGCCTGTGGGAGCGTACCCATGAGGCTGCTCTCCTTCATTTTGGAGCGGTAGAAAAGGCCCTCCTACACTTTGCGTGGACTGGTAGTGAGCCATGCCGTAAGTGTGATCGTTATGCGCTTTCCCGGGAGGTGTCGGAGAGAGGAGCTGCTTGGTGATGGCAAGTTGAGGCCCCTTGTCTCGCTTAGGGGTGTGTTGAATAAGTTCTATCGTTTTCCCAGTAGCTCCATCCACGGCAGCCGACAACGACATTGCAATCGACTGGATTTGCTCCGCTGGCTTGTTCCCACGGGTCAGGTAGAGACGTCCGTTGTTGCTGATGTGTGGGCTTAGTGCGTATGACACAAGGACAGAGAAATAGTTCCGTCGATAGCATGTCCAAACTCTATCGTTGGAGAAGAAGAAACCCTTTTCGATTTTGGCCTCAATGTGAGGGACAATGGTCTGGCCATCGCAAGTAATGTCGCCATAGTTCTCCTGTTGGTTGAAGGGGGGGGTGTCAGTCAGGGCCTGTGGGTTGTTTGAGTAGCTCAACATGGTCCCTGCGCTACTGTACGAGGAGGCCGATGGCGGAGAGAGTGGAGTGGTCTGAAGGAGGCTGCGAGGAGTTTCGGGCTGCGAGCCGTACTGATGAGCTCGTGAAAGCGAATCGAGGTGCCCACGAGGGGAGAGAGTAGAATGCCTGTGAAGACCAGGCGTGGAAGTAGTGTAGTTATCTCTAGCAGATGCTCCCAGAGATGGTGACACTGGATTGCCAATCCCTGGTGATCGTGCAGGAGGCAGCATACCCGGTGTCGAATGTTCCGTTCTACCATCTGCTGTCAGCTGTCATGCACCAAAACTCAGGTTGGACGGGACGGAAAGGCTATCGAGCGTCAAGGCTACTTACATAGACGACATCCTTGGGCGCATATTCAAGTTGCCAAACTGCTGGTAGTTGCTTGGAAAATACTGGTTCGTAGTCGAGTACGAGTTTGCCAGGCTGGGGGTGGGATATCCGACGCTGGCTGCCGAAAAGGACGAGAAGGCTAACGAGGATGTGTTTGAGCTCGGACTGGTCGAGATGGAGCCTGAGCTGGAGTCGGAGAACCCAGTGCCGGTTTGGTGCCTATAGCTAGCCTGTTAGCCACGACCTCTAGGCGTGCGTTCGGAAGTGATGCCAGCAGGAGGCTATGTGTAACATGGGCAGCACGGTGGCACGGTTTTAGTTGTCAATCCTGACAGGCACGATATGACACTGCTGGGTTGTCGTGTGATCAATGTGACAGACCGGCGCGGTGGGAAAGATAGGTGCACCACACTGCCGGTATGTGTACGACCTGCGTGCTGAGGGTCGACATGACGACGTGTTTGTTTCGGCTGCTGTCCATTGGCGCCTCAGAGGGGAGCGGAGTCAGGCAGCACGACGAAAAGGCGTCGAATGGTGCGGGAGCGCGCTGGGGCGGCACGGCAAGGCAACACTACCGCACTTGGCAGGCTGCAAGGCCGGGGGCAGGCTGGGAGGGTCCAATGAAGAGAATAGCAACTTACTGTGCTTCATGTGGTCGATGGGGCATGTAACGCAGCCCATTGCTGCCGCTGAGAGAGTGCAGCGAGGACGGTTGGCCGTCGCGCCTCAGCGTATCGGGGACGGCAAAGCCGTGATGTGCATGAGAGCCGATGTGCTCGATGTTGCTGCACTCCTGCTCCGACGAGAGGGGGTAGTCGGACGCCAGAGGCAGCGGCTGGATGACTGCGGGCCAGTTAGCCAATCGCCCGGGGGCGCCGTTTTCGCACTCTGCGAGTGTGCAACACGGTGGGACAACAACAGACAACGTGCGTGAGAAGAAGCGACCACGCAGACTGCACCCTGGGGTTGCACAATGGGGATCGGGCGTCGGGATGGCCTGCAAGAGTGCACTACATGAGGTCGCAGCCGCGGCGGCCAGCGAGATATAGAAGAATCGCAGCGGGCGTGGAGGGGAGCAGTGGGCATCAGACAGGGCGACAGGGCGGCAGGGAGAGGAAGTGCGGAGAGGAATTGGGCAGTGAAGGGGGGCGGTTTTGGCCCAACAGTGCCGGGGGGCTTAAGGCTGACTTACCTTGATTCATCGCTGCAGACGCGCCGCTCGCTCTCTACTCTTTGCTCGCTCCTGTTGGCCGTATAGCCGCTCGGTCTCGTCTGCACCGGCGGTTGGCACGTCCTGCCGCTGTCGTGAACTAGGGCCAGCGGGCGCTTCAGCAGCAGAGCCTCAGACGGGCCGTCGCGTGGATTCGATCGTCGCCGCTGCTCGAACCTCTCGATCTCTCTCGATCTCTCTCGAACCGCCTCGATGCTCTCCAGGCGCTACCTCGCTGCCTCCTGCGTAGCCGCTCGCGGCCCGGCTGCGCTGCTCGGGCGGCTCGGTTTCCGGTCTCTCGCTGCTCGTTCGGGCGTAGACGCGGCCTGAGAGGGCAGGTCGCCCAGACTCGCTTCAAGGGAATCTGGGGGTTTAGCCGGCCCGGGGGTGCGATTCTCAATTAGCTGCGGCAGCTATCTGGCGTGTGACTGGAATGGTGATGCCTGTTAGGGTCCCTGGGGCAGGCCGCAGTGCCGAACCACTTTCTCCCACAGATTGAGATGGTGAAGCCGGATACGCACAACACAAGAAAGACAGGCGGAAGAAAGACTCGGGATGCACGCGCGCTCGCTTGTCACGCAGCTTGTGGTCAAGGTCAACGGCCCGGGTGATGTGCGGGATGCTTGCTGGCGGAATGCTGTGCCTTAAAACGGGCGGAACGCTCAGACTGCTCTCCGCAGATCCAGCGGTGACGCACAGGCAGGAGGGATCTCACAACGGTCCTGGCTGCTGGGCAATGCTGCGATTTCGGCGGAGTCTGGCCTGGTCAGTCAGTCAGTCACGTCCCCAGCGCGTGTGCCAGCTCGACTCGAAACGTACCAGGTTCTCCTGCGGCAGCCAAAATTGCGTGGCGTCCAGAGTTTGCGGGGTGGCTTTTCGTCTTCGATCTGACTTGTCTGCCTCGTAGGTGGGCCGGCTAGCGATCCACGCGGAAGCCCGGATGCTGATAGTCCTATTGGGTGATCTGCTCGGCCTTCGTATTCGATTCGCCGCTGTCGTCGCCGACCGTTGTTCGAATGATCGAGTGACGGAAGGGGAAACAGGAGAATAATGGTGAGTCTGATGTCTCCGGCAGTGCGAAGGCAGAGGACATATAAGCACCCAAGCTTCTTCCAGATCGGCTTCTGGCAACGGCTCGGTCGCACAGACGGCTAGGACCCTGCGATCCCCGTGATCTTTGGTTTGGCGGCCCCTGGTAGTGGAGCAGGCGGACCAGACTTGGGATGCAACGCGGTTTAATGACAAAGGGACAGCTCAGACAGAGCTTGGGACAGCGTGTGGAGACAGTAGGGGGAGGCGGCGAGCGGAGAGATTGAGGTCAAAGAAAGCACCGGGCATTAACCTGATGAGCGGTAGAAGCACACGGCTTGGGATCTGCTGGGACTTGGGGAGGGACTGGGGGGATCGACGGCGGATACAGGGCACGACTAGCTGGCAGTTGTGCCGGGTGGTATCCTTGGATGGCTGAAAGGAGAAATATCTACCTAGGTCGCTTTAAGCACCAGTTGTTGATGGCTCAGATTCAGCCCCAAGAGCATCCATCGTATTGCCCAGGCTCAGACCACGGCGATTCTAGCACAGGGTAGCATTGGCAAGCTGCAGCACACCAGTTCCCAATGCGGTCTATCTATATCTCCGAAGGCAGGGAGGAATGATTTGCCCCAGGGCCCAAGCACCCATCCCTTCTCGAAGCGTCTCCCGCCCACGCCGCGCCGCATTCCTTGCGCCGGAGGCCTGGCGGCTGCGGCGCGCTGGGGCGGGATGGGGGCAGCCATTGGCCAGTGAATGGACGCAGGAACATGGAGCGCGCAACACAGCTCGATTGCTTAGGGCCTCGAGACGGCAGCTCACGTCCGCCGGCCTGGGAATGCAATGTCTCATTTCGGCCGCCTCTAAGAATAACATGCAGCAGGCGAACGGATGATCAAAGTTTGCTCTGCAGCAACCCCAGGCGAGCGCGAAGGGATTGGCTGAGCACGCCAGGCTCGCGGCCAAGAGGCTGCCTCTCTCTGACGCCACGGCCCGCACGGCGCAGGGGCAGCGGCGATCGGGCGGAGAAACGGCGTGCCGAGTGAATGGCTGGGGAGGATGGGATGGGGGCGAGGGCGTAGGAGAGCTTGGACAGGACGGGGGGTGGATGGGAGGAGCCGTTACCTGTCACAAAGTCGATACGGCGGACGCTATTGCGGGCGGGCTCTGGGGCGGAGAGGTCGCAAACCCGCGCCAGCATTCACCACAAAAACGCCACGGCTGCGAGCTGTCTGCTCTGGATGCAACCCTCTGGCTGTGGAGAGCAGGACGAGCAGGCTCTGCGCCATGATCCGGGCTCCTATCATCCCCAGCACTCTATCCCGAGCAGTCGGGAGCTGCGCGGCACGCCGAAAACAGCACGGAGGGGCGGCGGGGAGCGGGAGAGGCTGGGGCGCGGCTGGCGATGATTGGGGTGTCCTAGACGGCGGGCGACAGGTGATGCGGTCCTGGGGCTCATATTCGCGATGCCTCCAGTGCTCCCTTGCGTGGTCAGTCGGTTCTTGGGCCGGAAGAAAACGTCCAGAGGCAGACGCGTCCCAGGCCCGCAGCACCCTCGCAGACAGGGCATGCCAGGATTCAGTGAATTGCGCCGCTGGTGCAGCAGACGAGCGACAGGGAGCAGCGTGACGTGCAGGAGATGACGTGCCAGTCCGGGACGGGCCTAGCGCCAGCGCCACCGCGGAAGGCCCGCCCGCCCCGTTAGATCGATCCACCTCGCATCGCGACTCCACCGCCATCCACGGCTCACGCCTCACACTAGCCCTCGCAGACTGGCCATCCCCAATGGACGCAGCGCTGAATTGGATCGTGAGAACGCTGCAGTCATGGCCGCTGAGGGCAATCGCATTGCCGGCGTGGCCAGCTGGCATTCCTGACTCCACCTACACACCGCCTCGGGACACGCGACAGGCCCGATAGACGGAGAGCACTCACATCGCCCACGTCCCAGCGCTCGGGGCTGACCGGAACCAGCTGCTCTGCGCTCCACTCCTTGCCTGAGCCATGGCCGTTGAGCATGGCATCTGACGGCATCTGGCCCAATCGCCGCGTCGATCACCACAGATCCGATCAGGGCCTCAAACACCAGCAGCTGCCCGAAGGCTTGCCGCAGCTTCGCTCTCCGAGTCGCTGCTGAGTGCTGCCGCTGCGTGGTCATCTGACGCAGCTCAGGCGCATTCCTGTGCGTGGCCCGAGAGCTGTCGCCAAGTGATTCGCCCCAGACGCTCCAGCAGCCTTCATCGCATCTTTGGGGGTGCTCACGAGCCAGTGCAACGGCCGCTTCGAGGACAGGCTACTGGTGGCGGCCGGAGAAATCTGGAGACGGTGATCGTCGGGCTAAGCCTGAAAGTCATATCGTTGCCCTTAAGATGCAGGGAGCGGCCGTTGCGCAACCAGACGACGCAGCCTCCCGTCGCTTCCTAAACCTCCTCGCCCAGGGGCCAAGCAGCGTCCAGAAACCTCTCCGCTGCTCGCTCCAGGAAGCCTCGAATATCCGTCGGAAACGCAGCCCATCGAAATCGGCCTCAGTATTCCTCCGCAAGCTAGCCTACATTGCTGCTGTCTCAGTCCCTCGCCCACCACCCACCACCAACGTCCAATCTGTCGACCTCTCTCACCACCCGATCAGTGCATGCGTCGCACCGAGCCCACTGCTTGGCTGCAAGAACCAATTGGCCACGCTGACGGCACTGACGTCTGGAGAGCAGTCCTCCAGCGCCCTCCACACGCCCTCACTAGCGGTCCGGCCCGCACAGGATAGGCCACCAGCCTCGACTGAACCCTCATTCCTCGAGAGCAGCCATTGCTCCAGCCTTTCCCGACAATTAGGTCGTTGTCTCGGGCTGTCCGACATTATCGTGGAGACCCAGTCCGCTTCACCTCGGTCACTTCTCAACTATGGATCAGAATATCGTCGCGCCATCTAGTCCTCAGTGTTAATGTTTGTGTTTGTTTGCATTCTTCTAAATCTTGGTTGAAGCAGGCCCTGGACAACTCCATCTGATCTGGGGTCCGCCCTCTCCACCTACCCCTATCGTCCGATCCTCTCATGACTTCCGGCATCAACGACGTCAACGTCGATCGCGTTTGATTCGACATGACGCTCCTACGTCTTTGCAGACACGGTGGCGCCTGTCAGCTGGCAGCGCTCAGTTCTGGCGTGACTCCCGCAGATTGTGGAGCACGGCCGTCAGGGGCAGTGCGATTGAGCGTCCAGACAGACTAATGGGCGACAATGACGAACTATACGAGTGCCAGCTATTACAGATAGTGCTCAGGTTCCTGGCTAGTTGCAGTCCTAAGCCTCGACCCGAGCCTTTGTCGCCCTAGGACTCGCACAGCGGATCTCGTGCAACTAGGCACCCCACAATAGAGTTTGTGCGTGGCCGGTTGGATGGCGAAGCCGGCCGCGCCTTGCCAACCTCTTCAGCCACCTGGCGTCCGGGAGGGTGTGCTTCCGAGCTCAGCAATATCGTCGTCTCGTGAGCCCGTGCAGGGGCAGTGACGCGGCCGCTGCTCTGTCGACGAAGGCATGCTGCTTACCTAGCGGCGCCAGAGGATGGTGAGAGAGCCAGTGAAGCGTGGGAGCATGGATGCATGAGTTTCTTTGTCGCCCACTGCCGCTCGCCGGCCGCCGCTTCACAACGCTTCCCCAGCCAAAAGCTGGTAGCGAGAAGGTAGAGTCGCACCGTCCGGCCGATGGCAGGCTGCCCATTCCAGAAAATGCTATGACACAAGACGCATTGGGTTACACTCCCTCCTGCTGGCCACTGCTTGGTTCTGCCCAGCCTCAACAGCTCGGGCCGTTGGAACGCCTGCTAGTGCCGTCTCTCGCCCTTCGTTTGCACTTGCTGACCTCTGCTTCTTAGTAATCGGCTCCATGCTTCACTCTGCGTTCGACCCACCGTCTCCCGCGCGCGGCTTGGGACCGAGGGGCAGCGGTTCCGCGGTCGGCGGCAACGGCCCAACGTCGCCGCACAAACCTCGAGGCTCAGGGCAGCGCGTGCTCCTGTTTCCGGCAAACATGGCGGGCAGCTGGCGGGCAGCTCACGGCCGGCAGCCATCCGAGAGCGAATGCGACGCTCTCGGCGCGGTAGAACGTGCAGCAGCCCGGCCGGGGGGGCCTCAGATCAGCCCACGAACCGCTGGCCCGTGCCTGCGCCGCTGCGGCAAACTGTCGACATGGCGAAGAAGGCAGCCTGCTGCTCTGCCACGGCCTAGCTGGGGGCCAGAGAACGAGGCGTCGGTGGACAGCCGCCCTGTGACCGTCGGCCATGTGATTGCCGCCAGTCTCGGCCCATCTTCTCGCCGACTCGACCGTCCGCCTGCTCCTTCGGGCGCCCGCTCCTCCTCCGCCATCACCGTGGCCATCGCCTCTCCGCAATCTCCAGCGTGGATGTGCCGCCTCCCGCATGGCCGGCACCTCATCAGGCGAAAACGCCACAGTGCCGCAGCCGCTGCATCCTCTATTGATCTGACACCCCTTATCGTCAGCCGCTCGCGCACCGCACGTCAACTCCTGCCGCGAACCAGGTAGGATCGCACTTCAACCCCCGTCCCTCACTTCTAGTCTGCCCCTTTCGGCCAAATTCTGGTTTCATTGTGAGTGACTGGCAGCCTCGTGAGCGGGATCTCCCCGCCCGCCGAGGGTGCGGTATCTTGCCTAGGGCTGAAGTCGGCATCGGTGCCGCCCCTGGCTCCGGCATCTATTTGTGTGAGGCTGCTGCCATTGAGGATGCCGAAAGAGGAAGATCGGCCAGAGATGATAGCTTGATGTCATGCCGCTACTTGGTTGAGCTCTTGCCGATGCTGGACCTGGCCATTGCGAGGGCCCCCTGAGTTTTTTCAACGAATCTCTCATTTCCAGCTCCTCTGATGTTGGGGGCCGATTGTAGTCTGGGGATTGAGCACGATCCAGTAGTTGGACTCAGGTGCTTTATTAGGCAATGGACGAGGTAGGTGTTTCAACGTTTAGCCTGCCCTTTCGGGACTCTAGTAGCCATTACATTCAATATAGAGTGAGGAATACAACTTACCATCATCGAATGCTTTCAATTTCCCGTGCTTGCCCTTCAATTACCTTGTGGACGTTCATGACCGATTTTGACCACCGGAAATTCCTCGTCACGCCAACATTGCGTCTCTCCAAAGACCAAGCACTACCATGACTTTGAAGCATACACTGTGATCTAAGCCAGATCATGTAAGTGTCTAACTTTCAACCCTCTTACGCCGGCAGCCGGTTTAGAGAAGCTTCACAGTCAATATCGTGGTCCAACGATGGCGTCCAGCTGTCACTCTCAAAGCAGCCTCCAACCCCTGATTTCTGCTCGAATTGGCCCTCGTTCTTCTCATCAACCTCCAAAATAGTACGTGCCCGTGGAAGAGACGGGAAATATACTTACAATCCTACTTTGCCCTACTCTTGTATTTCACCCAATTCTCCAATATCACTAAATCGTGTCCCCATCCAGTAATCGAACTGACGTTCCCGCTACTATTCAAGCAAGGACGAACCATTAAACTTCCGAAGCAAGAACATCACCACGTTTTTGCCAACTCTCGCTATACAGCAAGCTCAAGCTCTAGCCGGGACTCATCGTCAATCCGTCCTACAAACTCGTCTGCCTCCTCCCTCGGCACACTCCCTTACCTGGGCACAGGCCCGGCTTAGCGCGCACAGTGCAGCATTCCCGTTCTCAGATATCTATTAGAGCCTAAGTATCCGCTCTTAGCATCTATGCGAAAGCACTATGGACTATAAACTTCATCAGACCTCAGCCGCGGATTTCTAAACCAAACCTCCGCGCAGCCCATTATGGCCTTTGACGGATCTCTGAGGCGGATGCCGGGTGTGTACCCAACTCTTATCCCTGGGCGACTGAGCTCGAGCGAAGGCTCGGAGAACCGAAGTCAAACGGTCATCACAATTTCAAGAGACTGGTTGAGATGGATATGAGGCCGTCGGGGAACGCCCGATAGAGGGCGATTCTGCTCTAGCAGCAAGAGTTGGAAGGGGTTGACTTGCGAAATCTGATGCTAAAGTTGGTAGGGAGTCTTGAAAACGAGAGCTTTCACAGGTGGGCGACGTGGTCACTTGGACTTCTCGTTCCTTTAGATGGAATGAGAGATTAACGACGTTGACCAGATATAAAAGTGGAAGAAGAGTAGCTTCAACAAGTACATATTGTTTCATTGTACTAGATCTATTTTACCCGCTCTAGCGACCAAGTCCGTGAAGCTCTAAAGCATATGTCGTCTCCGTCTTCCTCTTCCTCCTTGTATTGTCACTGCCAAAGCTCCGGGTATGTACACTCGTTTCCCAAATGCCTTAGTTGCTATACACTGCCCTGTCCCCTCTTGGTCTTTCTACCGTCGTCTTAGACATCTGCAGTTTGAGGATCGATGACCGATGAGCGACGGCTGGCTGTCCTGGACGGAGACCGTTTGATCATTTGTCACCCCCTTTAAGAGAAACCCGGTCTCTGTGATTTATCAAGCACGAGTTCTTAAGAGTAAGTCAAGAGCTTAACCTCACGGTCCTCTCATCGTGTGGGGGCTTCACATCGGTATTGAATTACTAAACAAGGGACGTGTAGGTCATACACAGGCTTCTTCGGGATACTGTATCCCATTCAATCTCGTAATCTCCAGAAACCAAGCGCTCTATCCCTCCGAGCCGGGGCATCATTATCCCTCTTGACAGAACCCTCGCATTATCCATCTTCATCATCTTCGTGAATCTGGAAAGAAGCTAATTCCGGGGATGTCGCGATAGAGAGTGTTCGTATGGGCCACTTCTCCTGGTCATCTCCTCTGCGCCACCGGGCCTGAGGAGCAGCAAAAGGCGCTTCGTACGGCGGCGTAGTGGGCCCGGAGAGATAGATCGTAGTCGTGGTCGATTGTAGCCGAGGAGGGATGGGAGCGGAGGATAGGAGACGTCCTGTGGCTTGTGAGCAGTCAATTACATTACTTCGCTAGAGCTTCTGCAAGGCGGAAAGGTGGCGGAGCAATGCCGATTATACGAGAGATCCCACGGCTTGACTTAAGCCGAGCGCAGCATACATGCGTGCGAGGGAGGCTCTAAGAAGGCCAATTGAAGAAATAGGCTGTTACCTAAACCTTGTCTTTGCTTGTCTTTGACGCGGTGGAGACAAAAGCAGGATTTTATTGTCGGAGTTTTTCTGGATCGTCGCCCTGTCCCCAGAGATCTGCTTTGTAAGTTCCGCGCAGAATCCTCTCGTTCTCCGTTTGGAGCTCCCCGCCTCCTTGCTAACCATCTCTCGTCTGCTATCGTCTCGAGTTCCATATTGGATAAACGCCTTGCTGGTCCAATGGCAGAAGGGAAGCTGCCGCACAAGATTGCCCAGTCCCGCCCATGATATTCCAACGCCCCAAGATGTCTCCTTCTATGATATTCCGGCGGTCCAGGTCGCGTATCGACGGCTTCATTAGGCGTAGCTTGCGGGGAGAGGTCGTGAGGCACTCGCCGCCGAAGGTTAGTCGATGGTGATGATGCTACGGCTGACTCGGAGTAGCTGTTGAAGGATGGGTTCGACGGTTCGACGGATTCGACGGGAGTGAAGCCTAAATCTCGCCTACAAGGGCCGAAGAGTATAAGGGCGCGTGTTTTTGATTTGCGCGATGGGTTGCAGCCTCGTCACTGGCGACTTTGAGATATACCGATGGGTGAGAAATGTCTGCCAGTGTTTATATGTTTGAGGCAATTGACAGGAATGAGGGGAGGAGAGCTTAACGAAAAGAGCTGCCGGGCTAGAAACAAAACAACAGCACGATGAGCGCACTAGATCATCTGCTGGAGGCGCTCGCTCGAAAAAAAGCTCAAAAAAAAAGGAGCAAACGACCACCCCCCTCTTGAGAGTGAACTACGCTAGATTCTCTGCGCCCTAGCCACCCTCCCCATTGAAGTTCAGATGCCGTAAGGACAATTCCCGAGAGTACTGGCACTCCGAATTCGAGCGCTGGGGGCTGGAACGCGGCCATGATGACAGAAGAGTTGGCGACGTTGTCTGTTTCGATTTTCTAGGCTCGATTCTAGCAAAGGGAAGAAGAAATTCAAGAATGCAAACCCCATAACTAGTCCTAGTGGGAATCGATCTTGGATCGAACCCAACTAGCAAAACAAAATGGCAAAACGAGCGCAATCACCTCCGCTGTACGGTATGTTGCTAGGCCAACTAAAGTCATTCGCGTCTCACCTTTCAGTATAGAGCCAGCTATGTCTGGTGCGCTTGCGGTCCGAACTCGAAGAGCTTTTGAGTAATTGTCTCTGATCGCAGGAAGGGGGGTTTGTGGGGATGAACTTTAAAGCGCTGCCTATCCCCATCCGCATGGCCAACTCACCTGCACACTGTTCTTACAGGCACGCATATTGGGGCGAGCTGAACAGATTCTATGCCCTCAATGCCGCACTGCCTAAAAGATATACTTAGCTGGCGGATAGGGGCCGATGTCGAGGGGATTCTACCAGCCTAAGAAAGTAAATTTAGGACGCATTCTGTTCCAAATACAATCAAGCCAGAAGGCCGCCAGCATCTCTCTAGCAAAACCATCACTCGTCGTAAGAATAGATATTTGGGCTGAGAATCTTAAGAAGACTCCTTACTATAGACGACTTGGCATTAGCCTTTTAGTCGTATGGTGAGGTGTAGTAACGTACCTCTTTGCATAGGAAAATATTATAAGAACACGTACTTTTTGAGATACGCTTCAAGTGGAAAAGGCGATGTTGTGCTGGAGTAGTGGAAAGAATGAGTGCGTAAGCCTCAAGACGTATCATCTCAACGAAGGGAAATCGTCTCGCAGGAAGGCGGAAGACGCGGAGACTGAAGTTAAGATCACTTCTTACAGCCTATGAGAGACTCGTACTTCGAGATGAAGAATTGGTGACGAAATTGATGGAAATACACGCTATTTCAAGCGCGACGGTAACGGCTAATGGTACTAATCGAGCACTATGCTCGCCTAGATGCATAGACAAGAACCATACGAACATTATATGAGGCAAGTTCTAGATCCCAAAATTGGTATCCTACCAAAAGAGGTAATTGCTCACTATGTCTCGAATTGGCCTTGGCATGGTGTCGCCCCAATTTTCTGGAATCTTTTGTTTCTACCTTTGTATGACGCCAGCTAACCGAGGACATGTAGAGGAAGCGATCACGGACCGGAATTCGAGATATCCTGGGACGATGGCGAACTGTTCGGGCTCGTCCGGGGATGGGAACATGACCACGGGGCTTCCGCAAGGCCTCCACGACGACTGAAATAGGGGAAGCCGACCGACGTGATATAATGGCTAGCCAGATGCAGCTACTTCAAAATATGATCTCAAAAGCTTGAATGATAGAATTGAGAAGTCGCAACGATAAATTTGATTATGATGGAGCGCCAATACCTACAAGTCTTACCGGCCTTTCTCGCCGCCTACAGCATCTCCGTCTATCCTTCATCACCCTCGTTAAAACATGGCACTGAACGCCAGCCCGGAAGCCAGAAGCCCCTTTCGTACCCTTCGATCGACGACATCCATCTAGCAAACAAAAACAGGGGCCGACGTATACCGCCCGTCTTATCCTCTTCGAACTCTCTACAGCGTGTCCCTTGCGTACATACCCGGGGTCAACCCAGACCACATCCCGCTCCTCGACAGCAGGCAAGCACGCGCTGTCAGCATGCACCACTCATCTGGGCAAAAGCAGCCGGGCTCCGCGCAGTGCAGTGCGTTGACACGAAGCAGAAGGACGTTTCCTTCAACCGAAGTAGTGCCTCTCGGCCGGCTCGCTTGCAAAGAAGCCCGCCTTTCCCCATCCCCCCTAGCTCGTCCTCGCACACCTCACTCCCACCGTTCCTCCGACATTCACCATTTGCCTTTGCTCATGCTCCCCCCCTCTCCCGGTCCCAGGAGCCGCAAAATCCCTCGCTCCTGTCCCCACAGCGCCCGTCCAATCACACCCCGCCAGACACACAGTTGCAGCTTGGCAATGCATGCCATCCCGACGAGATAGAATCCCGCGTCGAACCGCCCGCCGCGTCTGCTGGCCGGAACGAGTGATGGCGAACGAGCTCGAGCAAAGGACCTCGGACACGTTTGCCTGCTGCGTGCTTGCTTGGCTGACATATTTTACTAGCAAGCCCCTGGTCTGACGTCCCCTCGTTGCTGGCCCCTTGCACCTTGTTATCCTGGGAGCTGCAGCTATGGTATGCATGACCCTTTCAACGCAGCAGTAGCAGGTTTTCATGCACGATGGGATGGGATGGGGATGGGGCGGACGGCTGGTGAACGATGCCGAACGCGACGCGCCACGAGCGCCTCACCGATGAGAGCGCGTGTTGACGAGACAGGCAGAGGGGTACGGAGGTAGGGGTGGGTTACGTGGCAGAGCAGCCAGGGCGCGTGGGGAAAGGTTGTAGCACGCCTGACGAACATGCACGATGCAGAGAAAAGCAGAATGGCTAGGGCATGCCAGGTCAAGTCATGCCAGGCAAAACTGCCATCCGCTGTCATTCTCTAGTTCGTCTCGTAAATGTCGGACCTGTCATAAGATACTGATATGATTCCGTAGCTTTTCATTCGAGGGCTTTGAGAAATGTAGTGCCGTCGTTCCATCGTACAGTAGTGCCCAGTCTTGCCAAACAAATTGGAATGTCCCTGAATGCCCCCTGGAGAATTACTAACTCCCATGCGCGGAAACGCCGTTGTGGGCTCCCTTTCCCGAATTAAAGAAAGATGAAAGACCCTCGAGATGTCCTTCAAGAAGAGGGATCCGAGGGTGGAGAGAAATCCGTAATCCGACTCCACCGATGAGAAGAAGAGTAAAGAGGGCATTCCGATAGAAGGAAGTTAGAAGAGGAGAAAAAGAGTCCCGAATTTCCCAGCCCAATCCAGCCCATGAACCCGAAATCATTCGTTCCTTCAGCTCCAAAGCGCCCTGCGTGAAGAGGTGCAACACTGAGATAGCCCATGAGCCGGCATTATGAGCTGCTGACTTGACCGTAGGCACGCTGGTAGGTGGTGGTAGCGGGCGTCTGGCCATAGAATTGGAGAGCGCATTCGGCGGCGTCCTCGCGGGCTTGCTCGACGTAGTTACCGTCGTACCAGTAGCGGGCCGGGAATTGCTTTTCCCCGACTACAACGACGCTAGACCATGCGGTGCGGCCTCCTGTGAATGAGTTTAGCAGGTGGTGAGAGCATTAGAAAGTGAAGGATGTTAATGCGTGTTGGAAGTGAGGAACGATTATGGGGCTAGGGCTAATGAAGAAACCTGGAAGGGGATTGGATATTCTCCGAGACTCGAGAAGTTTACCTCGACGATCTGAAACGTCTTGCCATCTAGGCTGTTCGATCTGGGCAGCGTTACAGTGATCTGGACATGAATCAGTCAGACCTGATCCTTGACGAAGGTGGAGATCCATCACCAACCCTTCAACCTGTCTTGCCAGAAAGTGGGTCTCGCAGCCATTGTGATGGTGATCCAAGCAGCGACGCTTTTAGTGCTCAAGAACGAAGGCCCCAAGAGAGTGTGGCTGCAACCAAAGAAAGCAGAGCAGGACGGTCTGAATGCAAAAGCGCTTGTATAGGAAGATTGAAAAGTGCCTAGCTGGAAGAGAAGCCCTGCACTCGAAATCCGCAGGACTACTTATACAACTAACCCTCACGTCACCTGTAAGGCTAGACGAAACGACATGTTGCACCTAGGTGCACGCTGCCGGAGTCATCAGACGGTGAGCAGGGAAGGCACACGCAGGTCTCACGGAAACGACCTCTGTGTTGTCGTAGGGCACTGGGGACCAGCGGCCCACGGGTCGTTCGCATGGCTCCAAGGCCCAATGCAATGGATGGGGGTGGGCCGGGCCGTTTCCAGCTCCTGCACTGTTCAGTTGGCATCTTCTGGCGTCCGTCGATGATGACCTCGTTGCAATCAAGGCGGGCCAATGGCAGCCAGCAACGAGACGGGGGGCCTGCCTGCAGGCAAATTGCATGAATCGAAGCCGGCGGCGTGCTGGCCGATGCCTTCCCCATCAGGGGCCTCGTGGTTGAACGCGATTAGCATGGCGGCTTAAGAAGAAAAGAGAGGGGGGTGGAGAGGGACCAGGAATAGTCGAAGCATTGCACGCTGGCAGGTTAGCCAACTCACTGTGCATGAAGCTGGGTGCACGCTTTCTACTCGACGTGTCTTGACCCTAAGGCCAGATTGATCGAGCTTTTCCGAAGCACGATAAGTCGATCTTCTGCGAGAATTACCCTGCCTGCAAGCCCACAGAGCCTAGCAGGGAGCGTGCACAAATCCTGACGCAGCGGGCGGCCGGGCAGTAGCCGTTTGCTCGGCGTCAGGACGGGGGCCGGGTATGGTGATGCTTGCCGCCAATACCTTTGAGCTGAGGGAGGGCCCGCTGTGACAGCCCCGGGTACCTACTTATGCTTCTCTGTTTGACATGTTGCTCAGCATGCGGATGCCGGCAGCATGGCGTGAGGTCTGGTGCTGGAACTGGTTAAGTTGGCACAATTACCCGAAACTTGCCCGGAGCGTTCACGTGTGGCGCCTTCACTGAAACGTCGGAGTCCTCGAGCTGTTTCATCAGAGCCAAATGCGGAGTTCATGACGCCAGAAGAAGCCGAGAAGAGTAAATATGTTCATCATTCGTTTCAGCTCATATGTATACGAAGTGAAAGCCGTCCTCCTTTTGTCGTAGAGCCATTAATAATATGTGATATCCCACGTCGAAGCAAACACTCCATTTCCGATATATCCTAAACGCCTCACTCCGTTGCTGTCGTGTCGACGCCCCACATATTAGACAGATTGACGAAAATGCCACGGCAAGCCGCAGCTGACGTTCTAGCGAAACGAGCAGTATGCCCAGTCGTGCGAACGGAAATATGTACGAGAATCGAATGCAGAGTTCCGCCCAGCGGGTCTGACGTTGAGAATGCGGGTCAGTCGGTCGGCTCTCTAAACCTCAACTATGCAACGCTGACGGTTGTCGACTTGGAGCTGCTCGTCGATGAAAAACTTCGTCGATGAGACGCTTCGGACCAACATACTCCATGCCCATTTTGAAGGATCCAGAGCGGATCAAGGGAATGTGTAGCTGGGTGCTTTGCTTGGTGTGGAAGCGCCGCTTGATGCAGTCATCAACAAGAGCCATCAACCCAGTTGCAACGACGACACTTGAAGTTGTTAGTCGGAGTAATGGCCGGCGTTTGGTAGCACTTACTCGGAGATGTCAGTCGTAGCATCTAGAATCCTTTCGTCGGTGATCCGCATGTAACAAGGAGGGACCCAGCCCCCGCGTGCGGCCTCCTCGTGAGCTTGGTCGGGAGTCAGTTTGACGGGGCAGATGTGTGCTAGCGGTTGGTCGCTGTCCTCCCGGAGGAGGTAGTATGAAACGTCCTCCATGTCGCCATCCTTCTTGCACACCCGCTTCCAGCCGTAGTGGTGGCCCCAGTACTCAAAGTTGTACCGTTTGTTGGACTTGGCGCCCCGTCTCTTGACTTCAAGGTGAGCATAATTCGAGAACTCAAGCTTGAGCGTGTTGGTAGGCAACAGGGCACGACCGTTCGCATGGCCGGCAGACTTGGGGCGTGAGCCATCTTCAATGCCTTTCATCGACTCATAGCCCGAGTCTGATCGCTTGAGGCCTGCTGCGGTCGACGGTCGGGTGTCGGGCTTGTTCCTCAGAGTCGCGAAAGCACTGCTCGCTCGTGCCAGCACGGGCCTCTTCTCTGTCGGCGGCTTCTGGTATTTGCGGATGGAATGGCAAACCTCTCGGCCAGACTCTCGGCAATATCGCCGCAGCGAGAATTCTCGGTTTCTGAGGTCGTGCATGCGCAGGTGGAAGAGGGTGTACGACTGCTTCTTGCCCCGGCGGCCTTCTAGTTGAGTGTCCACGCGCAGGTTCATGTTCCCGTCGATGGTGGCGTCGTCATGGCGAATGGATATCCGCTTGCTCGTGGGGAACAGGTCAGCAAAGTCCCTAGGCGTGGTGGGTATGGCGTCGATGGGGAAGACCTCGTGGTTGTACTGGGGGACCTCGTACTGTGGGTAGTCGTCGTCTTCTTCGGCTAGGTCCTCCTCTGATGTCGACGCATAAGTATCGACTGAGGCCCGGGGGAGATACGGTGGTGGTCTCGCATAGTCGGTGGTCCAGGTGTCGGCTCGACCCTTTACGCGGCCATTGGAGGTATCGGACTGTGTATACGTCTCGTGGTAACTGTACTCGGTGGGCGCAGTACTCCGTGGATTCGACGTGGTTTCGCTGCGAGCGGAGTTGTTGGCGCTGCTGTCACTGGCGTGGTTCTCGCGCCACTGTATTGATTGCGGCATGATTATAATGGTATGGATGTGAAGTGCAGAGCAGAGTTAAATGCAATTCAAGTATGGTGATGGAATGGTGCGAGTGGTCAGGGCATGCGGAGAGACACGGGTGGTGGAGTATATGTAGAGCAGCGAGCAGCCAAAAGGCATCGGGCGAGGATCGGGCGAGCACCGCAGGCCGTATTGGTGGCGGAGTTGGAGAGGGTCTGTAGGGCTCTCGAATGGGCAGGGCGGAAGAATTTGCGCGCAACGGGCTGCAGCGAGAGGCCAGTGGGAGAGGCCGTGGAGAGGTGGGGAGAGCGATTTGCGAGGCGTGGGATGCACGCTTTTCTAACTATCCTCCATGGCGGTCCGGGCGGTCGGGGGCCTGTCTTTCACACCACGGCAGCGCAACACTTGCCCACACCGTCCGCACCGTGCCTCTGCCCTTGCCGGGCTCGGCCTGGCTGACACGGCCGTCGTCGAATGGGATTTGCTGCGGCGCCGGCCTGCAGCACCCCAGCCTCCCTCATCGACAGGACTCCCCGATCCTCCTGCTCAGCGCCAGCCCGGCGAATCAAGCCACCGCGCGCCCCTCCACACCGCAGCAGCCGTTGACTCGAGGCCTCCCCCGCCGAAACAGGCAGAAGGCAGAAGGCAGAGCAGAGAGAGACGCTTGGAGAGCTGGAGCGCATCGCCGTGCCCGAGGCTGGGGAGGGCGCGCTGCGTCTGGGCAGCCTGATGGCGCTTCACTATTCACATCTGGACAGCTCCCCGACGGCAGGCCCCACGGCGATGGCTGCATGCCTCGTCCATGGTGCCCCGTCCATGGTGCCCGTCGATTCCGTCGCGCCTCTCCCGTTGCGCCGTCTCTCATGGGCTCCACGTGCCATCGCTTTCCGGCCCTCTCGCAGTCTGCTGATCCCGACGAGCGACAACCAGCAGCAAGCCGCTCTCCAGGTGCAGCGAAGACGTCACCATCTCGCTGCTCTGCTGCGACAATTCACCGCTGGCTCGCCCAGTGCCATCTCTATTAGCGCTACGTCCGTACCACCAGGAGTAGCGCCGTCGATTTCAGCGGTGCGTCGATATCGACGGCGCTGCAGTCATACCGTGCCCGTCAGCCTTCTATTTTCATTTGTGGCTGAGAGGCACCTTGAGATCCGATGCCTCCACCATGCAAGTCGCATCACATCCTCACCTCGCAGCGCGGCATCAGCAAACCTCTCAGCCCCCTGGATATGCTGAACTCAACCACAGGCTAAATCCAGCGCGGGAGGAGGATCGTGCTTGGCTCTGCCGCTGCGTTGCCTTTCTCACCCTTGGGATAAGCTTCATGCATTGCCTCACCCTTTGGGAGACGACGCCGATGCTGATGCAGCGCGACGAGCCCAGCGAGAGGGCAGCAAAGCCTTCTCCGCGCGGAGGTCGTCTGCCCTGTAGATCCAGACCGCTGGTCAAAACTGGTGATCCGTCTTGCCCAATTCGGAAATCCACCTAACGTCAACCTCACTCCTCTCTCCTATCCTCTCCTCATCGTAGAAGAATGCCGTCTTCATTGCCAAGCCTCATTCTGTCCTTCGTCGCTGTTCCGCGCCGCCGATTGTGGTTTCATTTGCCTTCCTCTCCATTCTCATCTGTCCCGGTTCCCCGGCCAATCACAGTGCAGAACGTGTTGGATTCATACATGAGGCGACTGGTGCGCTGTAAAACCCCAACACCAGCGAACACGTTCAGACGCCGCTGTGGTGTCATCTCCAGCCCCTTCTAGCTCGACTTCAACCTTCGGCCGTCTTCCGCGCATCCTTCGTGATCGGCTAGTCTCCCGCAGTACCAGTATTCCCCTGTGCTAGGAGCTCCACTTCATCCCCCACGCGTCGACGCCTCCGATGATGGATCAGATAGCTGCAGGCCAAGTTTCGCGGCCGGGGCAAAGTATGGGATGCTTGCGGCTTCGACCTTCCTTCGGAACGGAGCCGAGATGATTACACCATCAACGCTGGCCGTGATTGATCCACCCCGACCAAACATATCGACCCGATAACCATGCCTGCTTGGCCTCTAACGGCCACTCAAGGCAGCAGAGTTTACTCGATACAATATCGTCAAGTGCACCCTCGTCCTTTTCCCTCCAGCTAGTGGCGGCTGTGCAACCTGACTCCTCTCGTCGTTCCATCATTACGTATCTCTCAACGAGTGATGCTTTAGTCTCTCAAGCAATGGGGCGATCGCAAGATGCTATGTCTGACTTCCCCATTTTGATCGTCTCTTCCCTTCCCTTCACTGGTATGCGTAGTCGTCAATCATTTTAGTCTCGAGGTTTCAAGTGGCTGTCATCTCGAGTCGATCATTACCTTCCTCTGCTCGATCTAGAGCACATCTGCGGGGAAACGGCTGCCTGGAGCTCCTCTCCTTGACCCAGCCTCAAAGGGCCCAGCCGGCCCCAAAACTGCAGACTTTTACTGGGCATGCTGCAGTCCAGCCAACTTCCCCAGCTTCCGCTGCATCTGCATCTTGCTCATCACGCGCCTCGTCATGCCCCGAGAATCTTCTCAACCCGGTCCATCGCATTGGTGCGATCCCACCAATCCTGTTAGAGTCAAACTTCATTGGGTGCGCTTCATGCAGCCGAAAAGCGCAACAGGCGACATAAAGTGGTGAGAGATAATTCGGCAGGATTAGTCGGCAGGACCTTTATTGGTTGGTATTCAACGGAATTTCCTTCATTTCTTCTCATGTCGCCTTTTACTTTGTGCTAGTCATTTTCCATTTTCACAATTTGTCTACAGTCACGTGCTCCTACAACAAAAGCGCCATGTCCACCTGACGTTCACATAGAACGAGCGAGAGAACAATTTGTCACTACTGCGTCGACAGGACGATGTAGTATGCACCCCTACAAAGTGTACCGTGTGTGTACGTGTGTATCGCGTAGGTGGCGAAGATGCCACCGCATGGGTGTCTATTCATTCTCTATCGGTCCCGACTTGGCATCGGTCTCGTCATTCTGACCATGGCCGAGAAATCCGACCTCAGGCTGGATGCTTAGTCCTCTATCTACCGCTCAGTAGAGACTTTGTTCCAGGCTAGGTAGCCCTAAGGGTAGTGCGTAGAAAGGGTCTCCGGAGAAATTCAAGAGGCAAACAGCCGAAAATGTGCGCATTTGACGCACCCAGCCTCATTTTCCTACGGTCTAGGGTTTAATATCTCACTTCACAGACGATTTCACATTTGTATTCGTCTTTCTCAATGATGCGATGGCAAAATAGCCCCTGGACACGTCATGGGCAAACTTCCATTCGTGGCTTGTGGCGCAGCTCAAAGGACGAACGTTCAGCGGAAATAGAACCCTTGGCTCCGTATTCTCTGATCCATGGATGATCGCCTATCTTCTCCAACTATCTAGATTGCCCAAATTCGATATGATATGATTCTTGATCGCCGAGAACGGCAACCTTGCGCTCTTCACTACCCAATGCATACGACCATCTTCTCAAGCCGGAATACCTGCTCCAGCATTGATCACCAGCCTCCACGACCACGATGTACATATAACCCAAATAGTCACTTACTGCATACACGCCCATCACACATAACCCCAGACCCCACGACCCACGCCCATGTATTCCCCCATCCGCACATCCCACAACTCCCTCCCGCCCGCTCATCAACCAGGCCGACCCCAGCGTCCTTGCCGATCAACGCAGGTACCTGCACAATGACCACGACGTCCCTCGCACTGAGTTCTCGCCCGAAAAGGGCTGCTTGGGCCGGTCACTGCCGATGATGGATGCGATGTGGCGATGTGTCGCAACTCGGCACTGACGCCATCACGCATATCTTCCCCGTGTTCTTGCTCCCGTTCGGGCACTAGTGCTGGCTTCCAGAATCCTCGCAACCTGGCCACGGCGGGTCGGGCGATGCCGGGGGAGGGAGAGGATGGCGAGACTTTTCACGCCATCCTGGGCCCCATATCTGATTGTGAGGATGGGGGTTTCGGGCCTCGATCGAGCTGCTGGTTTTGGCGTTGGGATTCGTGATTTGAGCGAAAATTCGTGATGTTGGATTATGAATGGATGGCGCTTGGGTCTGAGGGCCGTGGTCGCACCACTCAATGTCGCGAAAATGCCCTCAGCACGCGGAACGAACGGCTGCCATCTATCTGTCATTATCACCCGTCTTGGTAACGTTCCATCGCATCGCATTTGCTTGCTGGTTTTTCTGCTCCATTTCAGAGCTCGCTCGGTGTTCGACCATCTCATAGTCCCCGCGAGCGAGTGCTCCCAAGGTTCAGCTCTGCTTATCCCACCACCCAAGTCGGCATCGAAATCTCCAGAGCACCATTCGCGACAACACGGCGACAACTGCATCGCACGCCATCGAACTCCAAACTCCATCACCAGCGTCATTCAACACACCTCGCCGTCTCCGTATCGGCACGCCTACGACCGAAGTCGGCGGTTCAAGCGTGAAACCTGACCGATGTTCCTCTCGACGCCAGGACGCGCTTCGGAGCCGCGAGCGGTGATGCTGACACCCACCATCATCCAGCACCACCTCGCCCATCGCAACCAAATTCCCAGCTAGGTAAGTAGGCGGGCGCGGCGATATATGCATCTGCAATCTACACACACTTCGTACATACCTTTCTCAGCCGTCGGGGGCTTCCGAGTATCTCAGTCACCGTAGAAGCGGGAGCGGTGAAATCCTGACAGTGGCAACTCTTACCCACCTACCCATCTCGGCTGTGTCTCCTAGAGTGTCTCTATCTACCCATTCGTATTACAAAGATCTTTTGGGTCAGATTTTGCTTTTTCCATAAATGTCTCAATGCTACGTGGTCAATGTTTCACTACCTACTCTCGTGGCTCCTCACGTGCTTGGTTGGTGTGGGCGGGTGATTTGCTCGGGTGACTACACTACCTGTCGATGTAGGTCTGGGAGAATGATGGGTTGCGCAATGGTAGGTGCGGTTGCATACTGTGAAAGGAGCAGGATCCAGCATGTCGGTGTCGCTAGGCCTACACGCCCGGGTTTCGTCTTCGTCACTCGCACTGATCGGTATGTATGACCCTCCCCGATTTGTGCCCTAGGCAGTAGACAGCGATGTCTCATGGGGTGCTCTGCTGTGAATTCGGCGGGTGAAATTGCTTGCTTCACGTTTGATGTAGATGCCTGAAAACGCGGCGAACTACCGCAGTAGCAAAGAAGTGTACACAGCACATTCACGAAGCAGCATATAGTGCACGCATGTGTCTCAGCAAGCAAGAAGAGGTAAAAGTAAGCTATAACAAGAGATGAGTTTGTTGAGCTGGGTCTATCAAACTGAGCAGAGTGGAGAGGTTATAACACAACCATCCACCGGAAACCGGTCCGCAGGTAAACATTGAAAAGACTGCCCCATTGTAATCTCATCGCAATTCCACCGCAATCCATCTATCGCTGCCTTTCCTTTTCAGGACGCCTTCTCCCAGTCTGCAGAGTCGCAAGTAGTTGTCTCCTTGAGACAAATTCAGTAAACTCAATACCATAAGTATGAAGCCACAAGCCATATTGTGAGTACCTTGCATAGCTCTCTCAAGTAGAGAATCCGTCCTCTGGCGAATGTCAATATATCACACTTTGTACCGTTGATTAATTGTCAATGTTCGTCAGCATTTTTGAGAGCGCAGTAGCTAGTTCAACGTCTGCTAGTGGGAAGATGCTGCACGCAGAAACTCATGGCGTTCCTTGGTGTCTTTGGCCTCAGCTTCGAGCCAGTTCGAAACAATGGTAGCCTTGCGCTCTTCGCTTCTCGGTTCGAATACCATCTCGAATGGCAGTGGCTTTGTGATGACCTCGGCGGTTGTCTTGGGCGAGATGGGGATGATGGCGCCGGTGACCGGGTCCGTCTTGTGTTTGACATTGAAGGCCCACATGAGACCCCCGCATAGAACAACGAGCGCGTCTTGAGTGAGAGTTTGTCCGAGGCAGGCCCGAATGCCCCAACCAAAAGAGGACATTCCCTTGATTGTCGGGAACTCAGTGAGAGGCACCTTGTAGGTTGGCCATCCCGGCTCAAGCCAGCGCTCTGGGTGGTAGTTCTCAGGGTCGGGGTACTTCGCCTTGTTGCGCATCATGGCCCTAGATCTACGTCAGGGAGATCGTGGGGGAGCCATTGGTATGACTTACCAGTCAAGGGGAATAACCCTCGTTCCCTTTGGAATAAAGCCGCCGCGGTAGTAGTCGTCAGCCTCTAACTCGTGGGCAACGCCTATCCGAGGTTAGCATACACTCCATAATTATGCATAGTAACTTACCGGTCGGGACAGGCGATCTCCATCGGAAAGTCTCCTTGATGCAAGCGCGGAGCACCGGAAGATTGCCATAGTCGTGCAGAGTTGGTGGCCGACCCTCGCATATGCGATCGATCTCCTCTTGGCACTTGACCATCCACTCCGGGTTTTGGATCATCGCTATCAAATAGGTTTGGGTGGGTCCTCCGACCGTGAATACGCCAACCAAAGCGAGCATGCCAAGAGCAGAATGACCCTCGAAGTCGCCAAGGAGGGGGGACTTATCCCCAAGCTCCAGATATTGTCTCGCCCAGCACGGTCGCAGCTGTCCAGCTTGCCATTTCTCTCGTGCACCGTTCAACAGGTCCATCCAGAAAGCCTGCTGTATACCTCGGCGGACAAGTTCGCTTCGCTTCCACGGATTAAGGAAGAGTGGCAAGTGCCAGAGCGGTGTCAAGACATTTGTGATAGGACCATTCGGTGACATCTGAGTAAGTAGACCCCAGGCACTCATTCGCATCTGAGGACTGAAGCTGGGATCGTCGAATGCAAGCGTGCACATAACCTTCGAAGCCTGGTTCTCGATATGGAAGCTGAACTTCTCGGAGTCGCTGAGGAGAATGAAGAGCAGGCGCTTGACCTCAAACTCCATGATGCCCTTGTATTTGATTGCAGAAGATTGCGTCAGGTACGAGTGAGCCCACTTGCGCTGGCGAACCCAAGCTTCTACAGCTGACATCAGCATAGGTTTTGAGACTTCGACTTGGGTGACGACTTACGGTTCCTACCCATGAGTGGCAGGTATGACAACATCCCATGGTTGCTCTTCGAGTCAATAAGGGATGGCACGGCGGGTCTGTCGGAGTAGATCTTTGCGCGCTTAACGAGGAGGTCATTAGCGATGGACTCATCCGAGATGATGACGAAGTTCCATCCAATCATTCGCGTCTTGTAGATACCGCCGTATTTGTAGGACCATTCTGCGAGCTTGAGCCAGAAACATTCAGGGAGGTCGTGAACGTGGCCGATGTAGGGGATCAGACCCGGGCCCGGGAACCCCCAAGGACTGTTTGCCTTGTTCCAACGACGGTATGCGCCCACGGTGGTTGTCAGTGCAAAGGCAAGCATGGCCAAGGCTGCTGCTACGATGCTGAATTGCATCTTAGGCAGAGTAGAGAAAGAATTCGTGAATTGTAGAGTGTTCACGAGGAGACGCAGATGAAAGTGCGGCTCAGGTGGCGTGCGGCAACGGACTAGCTGATTGCATCAAGCTAGCGAGAGTGAACGTCAGTGACGCTGCTTCTTGATGAGAGACGACGCCAGGAGAGGATCACGAAGATCTTACGTACCTAGGTAGGACTGCGGATGGCAGGAGGATGGGCTTGAAGACCTTGTTCAGCCGATGTATGTGAGGTAGGTGGAGGAAAGGATATCTATGACTGACGATGAAGCAGAGAGTCTATGGGGCCAGGGCGAGCAATGACGGTGAAGTGACGGCCAAGCGGTGAGCTGCGACTTCTGCATTTGGACGCTCGAGCTCTTCGCCGCTGATAACAGAAGGCGACTTCGGAAAGCAGTCCACTATGTACAGCTGATCAATCGTCGGTGCCAAGACCTCGAATCGCGCTTGCCGCTGTAAGTATGAGGTGCTTTACTATCTTTGCAGGAACGCGTGGTACCCAGGCAAGTATATGATTTTGAACAGTCTGTAGACGCATTGAGACACTCCTAACGTCACTAGACATCTGCGGAAAGGGGTGTATTGACATGTGCACTCTTTACTTGGTGAAGCCTGGAACGGGGGCTGCTATTCACTGTCAGCTTCGTTCAGTAACTTCCTTAAACATTCCCGGAGTCAACTGCGTTTGAGACCTCCAACAGGTTGCAAGCCAGTATCAATTGATACAATAGTTTGGCCTTTTCCGTGCACCCGGCATGGAACCGCTAGACGTGCCAGGTACCGCTTACATGCTCCCCAGTTCTAGGACGATGAATGTTGCGCTGTCTAGATTTGGAGGGCGTTGTCACGTTGAAACACTTCGAGCGAGTATGTCACATCCATAATGGTTTGGTAATAAGTTCTGCTGTATAAGGTACCTCGGTCAATTTGAAGACCATTCATAACGACGGATGCTATGTCTTACGTCTTGCCAGATTTACAAAAGGGTGTTGAGGTACGCCTGGCAGCGGCAGAGAGTGCATAGAGACCTATGGCGAGGCATTATACTGACCATTTGCTCTGCCAACCTACTAAAGGGATTGCAGCAAGATAATGCACGATATAGCATGATCCCGCTTGCCAATTGGGAATCGGAGAGTCGGATGTAATCTCACCGTGTTTGTTTGCTCGCTCAACGCCGAGCTTTGAGGGAATAATGTCGTTGCGTCCGCTCTTGAGATGGCACCTGTGTTAGGTATGTTTCCAGCAGGCGCCGCCCATTTGTAGACACTGATATGTAATATTCCTATTCGGAGATTTACAGGCTCGAGCCAACGAGAATTCGGGCGCCGCCGCCTGAGGTGGCCCAGCGAGTACCATGATTGTTCAAGAAGATGGAAAAGGTTTCCCTTTGGTTCTGGAAGTCGCTTTTGAAGCACTCGAAACTGAGATTGACCATTCAAAACGATGGGTTTACGTCTCAATCCGATTCTGGAAAACACGTCGAAGCCCTCCATGCAGTGGTAAAATAGTGTATGCAAACTTTACTTTGTGTATTTTTGCAATATATTTTCTAACCCCTGTAGGCACGATCCCATCAGAGCGTCTTTTTTCACTCGCGATCAAGTTTCAAGACACCACCTTCGATTCGGCATACCTATTTACTGATCTTTCAAAACAGTGGGTCTGAACCTTCTTCCGATTGGTGATATACCTTTGAAGCGCCCCGAGCAGCGGTGAAACATTGTATACGAACTGTTATACTGGTACTGCAAATGCTACAATCCTAGGTCGTAAGTCTGGGCACACGGATTCATCACTGCCTGACTCCAATCTTGCTCACTCGACACCACTGCGAGGAGCAGCCCAGCTAGTAAGCAGCCAGTTAGTCAAGAGGCAATCTGATTTGCACTACTTGAAATTTGACATCGCATCTGGATTTTTGAAATTCCATGTGCGTACCCCAAGCACTGGTAAACGCGTGTGCACAGGCTTATGACCTGTCACTATACGGACACCATCTTGCAAGGTCATTAGACGTTTTCCCAGCCGATTGAATGAAATATCTCAAAGCACCTTGAGGGACCACAGACGGTGGCATAGAAGCGTACACGGACTGCTTGACTTGACCATTGCCTCGTCCCTGCTTTGTGTACACTCTTCGGGCAGTGCATGTAGTGCTTCAACATGTTGATGAGAATCTGGGGAATTGCTTCATATGTACACCCTGAAGCTGCTGTCTAAGGTGCCCCAGCGAGTCTACTGATGCTTCCAGAATATGAATTTCGCAATTCTGGAAACACCTCGAGGAACCTCAGACAGCGGCAGAGAAGTGTAAGCAGTGAGGAGTGAAATGGCCAAGTGCCTAAAATCGGAGGCCTGTGATTCGCCGAACGGTCATGTGCTCCAAATCACCAACACGGCAGCGACGACGTTGACAGCTACTTCAGTCCTGCGCTCCACCTCATACCTGGTTTCTCCAACCTCCAACCTCATTACCTCGACTTCTATTCCTGCTCTCTCTACTGTCCTCAAATCTTTCCACTCTGAATCAGACCCGACTATCATCACTATGGCAAACCCTCTCTCTGGCACGGGATCTCTCATGCACTTCAAGCCAGTGGAATCCTATCCAAAGACTGGCATCAATGTCCTCGTCGTCGGCCAAGGCCTCGCAGGATTGGCTGCAGCTCTGGAGTGCGTTCGCAAGGGCCACGACGTGACTCTGCTTGAGCGCAGCTCCACCTACAACACTGCAGGTATGTTTAGCCCTACGAGGCGAGTCTAACAACGCTAACCCGGTGTACACATAGGCGATATGTACTTCATGGGCCTCAGCGCGACCCGTTTCTTCAAGCACTGGCCTAAGCTCAAGGAAGCATACGATTCCATCTCCCTGAACGATGCGTGGTTTGAAATTCGCAAGCACACGGGCGAGGCCATGATGCCAGCCATGCCGGTCACTAGCATCGATGCCCCCGGCCTCGAGAAAGGCATTCCGCCAGGCACGTTCCAGATGCGCCCTCTAGTCTACAAATTGCTGGTGAACGAGGCTGAGCGAATCGGTATCAACACCGTCTACAACGCTCGGGTCGTCGATTACTTCGAGGACGAGGGCGAGGGAAAAGCTGGAGCCATCACCGAAGACGGAACTCGCTACACTGCCGACGTTGTCATTGCTGCCGACGGCGTCGGGTCCAAGTCGCAAAAGATTGTCGGTGGGCAGGTTCGTGCTCAGGCTACCGGCAGGGCAATGTGGCGCGCTGCATTCCCACGAAAAGTCTTGGATGAGCATCCAGAAGTCAGGGACTTCATTCCCTTGAAGGACGGCAAGCCCATCGTCCGCACCTGGTTGGGACCCTCTACGTATGCTATCACGTTCACTCTGAAGGACTTGATCGTCTGGACCATCAATCACGACGCCACCGGCTCTGAATCTGAATCGTGGAACGCCACCATCGAAGCGGATGAGGTCGTCAAGGAGATGGACAAAATCATTGGGCCCCTCAAGTGGTCTCCGATGCTCCGGGAGCTTGTCAAGTGCACGCCTCCGAAATCTATCGTCAACTTCGAGCTTCTCTGGCGCGATCCGCAGCCGACGTGGTCCTCAAGCACTGGTCGTATCGTGCAAATCGGCGATGCTGCACACTCCTATCTGCCGGCCTCTGCCAATGGAGCTACGCAAGCTATCGAGGATGCGATCCACCTTGCCTCCTGCCTTCAGATCGGGGGCAGCAAGGAGAGGGTTGCACAGTCCATTGATGTCCACTGCTACCTTCGGTACGTTCAAGCTTCTTCCTTAATGCTGCAGCTACTGACCTGATATAGCTTCATCCGTAATGCCTGTGCCCAGAAGATGGGATTCGCCAACGTCGAGCTTATGCAAAATACCAAGTGGGATGAGGCCAAGATAGACCCCCGACGGGCCCGGCCGAGGTTGGCGAAGTGGATCTACTTCCACGACCCCGAGGCCTACGCTTACGAGAACTACGAAAAGGCTGTCTCCGGTATCAAACAGGGTATTCCTCAGGATGAGAACCTCGAAATCGAGCCCAACTTTCCAAAGGGATACCGATACGAGGCTTGGAGCATTGAGGACATCTTCGAGGATGCAAAGAATGGCAAGCTGGTCGTTCTGGGCTCTGGAGATTGGAACTAGGGTGATGTGTAGCGCCACACCGACTGCAAATGAGCTCGTGACTATTGCGGTCTGATTCTGGGGGTTGAAGCGGCCAGGGGCTTGGCGGAGCTCTACAAGTAGCTCAAAAAGCAATGGGAATTCTCTGGGATTTGATCTGCGCGCCTCTGGAATTTGATCTGCGTGCCGTGCCTCCAAGACAGTATGTGCACCTCCATGATATTGCCACTATGTCGACGGTGTCAAGGGTGGCCCCAAGAAGCCTCTCTTACCAAACATGAATGTCAAAAGCCGCAGGACCCAAATCAGGTCAAAGTGAACAGCGTTTATTGTCCGCCACGAGGTCACTGTTAGGAGTGGCTTAGGAAGGCCAGAAAATCTATGGCTGATGTCGTGAACCAGAGAGCCCAAATTGGCTAGGTGGAATATGCAGCTTAGTCAGTCTACGGATCTCCCCAAGCTTTTTGGATGCATATCACGATGATCACGATCAAGCCACGATTTCGCTCCTACAAGCATTCATAGTAACCTCATTCACCACTTGGAGCATATTTTCGGACGCTGCCCTGTCTCGTGCTCACGCTCCTTCACCGCGAATGCTGACGTAGCCGGACGGCTCCCGGTACAACTTCTCCACCTCACAACGCTCTCGCGCTACAAACACCACTTCGCAGCCAAAGATGGCGGAGCAAACAGTCAACATACCGCAGACCCTCGTTTTCCTAATCCTCTTCCTCCTCGCCATCCGGTGGTACTTCTCAAAGCCAACGCCAGGGACCACCTCTTCCACCGGCACGCGAGCGACGACTCCTACAATCAATCGTGGGGTCCGGATAAACCCTGCCCAGGTCGAGAACGTTGCACAAATGTTTCCAAATGCGAGTCGGAGAGACATCATGTGGGACCTGCAGCGGAATGGTGGGAATGTGACGGCGACGGTTGAGAGATTGGTGGAAGGGCGGGGACTGGACACTGTAAGTCTAAGATCGCTATTCCTGTGGCATGTTATCACTCAGATGCTAGTCTGCAAGTGCCACTGCTTTTGACTTCTGAGAATCACTGCTGATGCAATACATGGTCGCAGCCCCCACAATCTTTCCAACCCCCAACTCTCCGCACCTCGAACCCAATCTCTCGGGCTACGGCACCGCTTTCAAAGCCAGCCCACCCTGATCTCATAACTCGTTATAATCTTTCCTCGAAAATCAGCGCCGAGCCCTCATCTTCAATACCAGAGTCGAACGTGCCGAAGAAAGCATGGTCAGCAGATAAGAACGAGCGGCAGCAGATGCTGCAGCGACGGCGTGACGACATGATCTTAGCAGCGCGGAGGAAGCTGGAGGAGAAGGAGAAGGCAAGAAAGTTAGAGGGGGGGTCATGATACTACGGAATGTGGTTAAGGGAGTATGAGCTTAGATAGGCAAACTGGAGCATACTCACCCACGATCTATATGCACTCATCACGTTCCATTCAGAGTATGTCACTGTATTCTTTTGGGCCTAACACAATGTTCTACCTTGCATAGAGTTCGAACTTCCTTACCGACTAAGTCAAGTGTTTACTAGTAAGTTAACCAAATTTTTTCTGATGTCGATCCAATTAGCTGACAGCTTAGACGTGAATATTGGTCCCCCTACGCATTTTGAATCCCGTGACGACTACAACGTACTGGCAAAAGTTGAAAAGTTCCAAGCAATCGTTGAACTAGTTCGGCCAACTCGAAAAGCATCAGCTAGGTGTACACGGACTGGAGGTGTGACTCCCGACATTACAAAGAGCTCGGAACAACACATCGCTTACTATCAAAGAATGCCTCTATTATTATTCTCTTTGTCTCAAGATTTTCTGTTCTTTGTCTTCATTCATCAGCCGTCTTTTCGTTCTCTATTCTGGCTTAAACACAATCCTTTGTTGTAAGGAGGAAGTATATTTGTACTGTCCTTGCCAATATACCATGAAAAGAAGTCCTGCTCTTCGCCATTTTCTTATCTATATACTCTCCAAACACTACTTTACTACACGCCTCGAGGGTCATTTCCAGCTTCTCCTAATCAACTACTTTAACTCAAACCTCAAAACGAATATAACACCTGATTTTTCTTTAAAATGACTATAGCCGCACACCGCCCAGTTGTAAATCCTCGGGATCCCCCGGCACAGAACCCCCAATGCGACGATGCAGACTGCTGCGGGATGACACGTCCATGCACCGACCTGACAAGACCACGGTTCTGGTGCAGGTCGTGTAAACTCGATCTTAATTGTTGGACTGACGTCTGCGAAGGTTGTCATAATGATGATCTCTGTGTTCACCCCACTACAATGCTCCCCATCTGCGATGTGAACACTGCGGAGACCGAATTCAATGGCCTACAGGAGACAATTGTAGCTGGTGCTGGCGGAGTCCAAAACCCGAACAACATCTCAACCTCAAGGAACTTCTTCCGCACACTCCTCTGCGATGACTGCGAGCGCCAAGAGATGGCACTGTACCAGGAACGGATTACTCGCGGTATCAACAATCCCCGACCCTTCAACCTTGGAACCGTGGCTGCTCCCCGTGAGTGGCCTACGGATGCCTCCCCAGTCCAGGACTTGTGCACCTGCTATAACAGCATGTTTCAAGCCGTCCCAGCCGCTAATGTTGGATTCTGCGCTGAGCACCGTCGAACGCAGTGGACTTTACTGAGGGGCCGGAGAGATGTCGGACGTGACTACCTTGAAGGGATCACGCGGACGCCGGAGGGTGGCATTGGACGGGCGAACAGGAGAGTTAAAAACCGCAGACTGGCTGCTCGTGGCCTGCCACGAAACGGGATGTTCGCCGATCGTCTTGCATGCCCATGCGGACGCGACGCTCAATTCCCTAACGCGATCAATCCTGGACAAGAGCGAACAACGGCTTGCGTGAGCTGTGGCGGAGTGCGACATGAACCGACTGTAGTCCGACAAGCTGGTCCCGCGATCCCCGGCACACGACATTCTGGACGGGTTGCTAATTTAGCTGCCAAGGCAGCAAATGTGGTTCAGCCTGAGCGGTCGCGCTGGCTTCGAAGGCAGCGATGATCTCGCTCATCCCGTTCTCTCGTAGATATTGAGGGGATTACCGCAAGGGCTGATCAAATATAAGTGAGATTTACTTGGAAGACGATGGAGTTGCGAGAGGTAAGTTTGGTAAGGTCCGTCCCTAGGTGGCGAGAAACCCCCCGTGCCGAGCAAAATATATTGTTCGGGCATCTCAAGTCTTTCCTCGTAAGCCTATAAAGTTATAGCTAATATTACAATCCGAAAGTCGTCAACAGGCGCTTTTCTCGGCAACTTTTCCATGGCGGGAAGGACTCCTTTGATCCATTTTCCCTGAAAACCCCTCTTCGCGATGATCAATCAGTGTTGTTCTAGTCGCTTGCTCGGCTTTGCAATGTTAAAGACTTCATTGAAGGTCTGGAACTTCAAGCGTCGTTCAAGGCCTTCTGTGCTTTCATTCCACATCAAAACTCTTCTGCAATGCAAACCAAGAAATTTCGATGCATAATATAATTCTGCGTCCACATAGTTTCCCGTTAGTCGCAAACCATTACTTCTAAGACCCTTGACTCCAAATTCAGAACGCCCAGTCACAATGAATCCAGTTACAGTTGGTGGTTCTTGGTAAGCCCAAGAACCGTTGATGGATGCCCATGACCAAGTCGGGACATGGGGCTTCCGAGAGCCTTCCGGATCCAGCTTGCTCCACAAGTGTGACACTGGCAAGTGGTCTCTCCAATGCCCTTGCACAAAATCCCTAAACGGACGCAGTCCATATGCCGTAGTTATAGCCAGAGAGTCGACTAAGCCGAGAAGCGCGGGAATTTTGTCACTCTCGAAAGACATATTCCGGAGAAGGTAGAGAGACAAAAGCTTTTGCCAGTAATCGTTGAGGTTGAGATCCCTTTTCAATGCTCATCTGTGCGACATCTTGAAAGATTCAGTGTTCGATTCATGTAGTCCAGTCCACGCATCTGGCGGTTTGTGGCACTCGCAATCCAGAAGCGAGCAGCATTCCCAGACCAATTCTTCAGGCCCAAAATGCAAAACCCGGCGGGCCAACAAGCGCTCTTGCAATGCCCATGCCCTGCTAAAGAGCGGAAGGGCATCTGAAGTCTTGATGCAGAATCGGGTTGATGACATTGCGAAGTGAGATGGCACTTTCTGGACGGAGACAAACGAGTATGGTTGAAGGAGTGGCAGCACCCGTCCAGCTTTTGGTGGTCTCGGTAAGCTACTATGCGTACTATTCGGTGAGGACGACAGAGAAATTGTGAGATAGGCGTTGTTGTAGTAGTATGCCATCTTTGGCATTTCTCCATCCCAGTCAAACTTATTATCTTGTTCTATGCATAGAGAATCAATCCAAAGGTGCGGGATCTCCAGATATCGACAGACGAAGATTGCAGTTTGGAAGGCAGGAGGCATAGATGACCAGGGTATACGGTTGTAAATTCGATGCAGTTCGACTTTAACAAAGATAAGGGCCGGCTGCCTCCCCAGCAATGGCTAAGGCAAGCGTACTTTTCCAGGATCTCTTCATAGTCGGACCAATTCCGGAGAGCAACATCTAGGGTTCCATCGTCGAGATTTACTTTTCAAGAGTCTCGTCGGATTGTATCTCGAGCTCACTTGATCTTTCGATTGACGTTCCTTCAAAAATGCGTCACAATCCCGATGTTTGATGTCACATTCCTTAATCCATGCTCTTACTGTCTCATACCGCTCGGGAGAAGTGGGCTCTGCCACTGCTGAGGCCCTACAGAGCTTCACATCCTCTTTATCAACAATAGTAAGCATATTCAATGATTTACCTGGCTTTGTTGAACACTCACCATTCTCAGGTTCTGTGAAAAAGTCTACCCACTCAGTTGGTTCGTTGTTCAGACCGTCTCGTTGGATGCCGAGTCTTAAGTAGCTTCCTGCTCCAGGGATGAACTTGCCCGAAACCTTGTGAAGCTCCCACTTCTGCCATTTTTGAATAACAGGAGCGGCTACAAGTATGCCATCCCAGAGAAAGGCACAGACTCGGGTTGCAGCAACCTAGGATCAGCAACTCATACGGTTCACCTGCGTGCACACCGCCCCCCTAGGTATCCCTTACTCTCCCTTTCTCTTCCTTACGGAGTTGTGGTGCTTCCTTGCTGTCGAGGGAAGGGAGTGCCTTTCCTTGGCGCCTTCCTTGCTGCCAAGGGAACGACCAAGGGAGCGCCCTAAGGGATAGTTCATCTCGTTCCTCTACATAGTCCGCCTTTACGGCATCTACAATACAACAGAGTTCACATCAATTTCAACCTGAGTCACAGCGTCGACACCCAGATCCGGCAGAGATTTTCAAATCCAACAGCGTAGGCTGCCCTCTGAAGTTACCACAGTACCTTGAGATGACTTGGGAGCATGTTTCGCAACCAAGGGGACTCTGAAAGAGCCTAAAATCTGCATGATCGAGAAAAGAGCGTTGTTGAGCAGGAAACTCGTCGAAGCCGGCCCGCCGGTCTTCGGTTCATCATTCTCCACCATCGCAATAGGGCTTGACACCACACAGTGCGATGAGTGGACTATGGTACTCTATTTTCCTGTGGGGAATTTGCAGATTACGCAAGTGTTGATGGGATACTGGTGGTGGGAGATTTGTGGAGCTGCGTCGCTGAAGTTGCAAAGGTGTGCACAGCCTTCGCAGAGCCCCGCAAGGCTGAAAGGCCTTCAGACTTGAAAACTTGAAAATGAATGTTCAGATCCTTGATATAATAGATAACACTAGTCGAAACGGGTTGAAAGCGTAGATTGTGGATCGGGTTGAGTCTCATGGACGGAATAGGGCTAGGAACACTGGCAAAATAAGAGTGTCTAACTTAGTGTTAATCTAAGAAGACTGGCATTTTAAGGTTATTAAGTAAGCTAATAGGACCATTAAGTTAACGGAAATGTCATCTCGGCCGGTCTTGCGTATCCATACAGTGCTCTTAACCAGCGCTGGCTCCCAAGGCCTACTGACAGGCACTTGTCCAGTATTGCTTAGAGCCCCTGGCTGGACTTTGGGGAGTGGATCATGTCGCGGTTGGTGGTACCGAGGCCTGGCTTTCGGCGGCACTGAAGTTCATTATCCAATCTTTCAATGGCAATATAACCCTGGGAAGGAAGGTGTATCCAACTACGCCAATTCGCGAGAAGACGAATTATGGCGAATACAGTATCGCTCGCCGCAGAAAGGGGAGAGCCATGATGATAGACAGAGGGAGTTCTGGATGCCGGAATATGAGTGGGATGCACTACGGACCTTAATCGAAAGAGATGGCGTTATGAGCGATCCACAAGAGCAGGGCATGTTATTGCTCGATAATGGGTGGCACATATGGGACGGCAATGAAGGGGTGCTGGTTGAGTAAAAGACGACCCTAACTCACCCGAGGATCCTCTCCCTTACTTTATCTAAAGGGGACAAATATGGTTATGGTCTAGATGATTAAAATGGATTACAAGAATGCAGGTGGCATGACCCCTTAGGGGACATATTCCGACTGCTGTAATGGGACAACATGGGATGGGATTGGTAATACTTCGCGAACGTGGGTTTTGTTGCGTAAGGGTGAAAGCTAGTTGAAATAAAGTAACGCATTTTGCTTCCTCAAGTCGATGGCCGGCTTTCCACGCTCCACTGGGGCGTCATGCTATTATATTGTCCCTTGTTCCACGTGAATAAGTAGCACGGATAGGATTATATTACTAGTGCAAGCACGCCAATCGCCACTGCTTATTTACTACGGGGAGGGCTAATCGTACACCCCCTAACGAATAATCGTACACCCCCTAACAAATAATCGTACACCCCCTTTCGAATGATTATACAACCCCTACTTTACCGCTTCTGATTGGCTCGGAGGTCCGGCAGGAGGCCTCCGATCATTCACCCTTACGTCTATCTGCACGTGCATCTCTGCCGTATGTGAGCTCGTACGTGAGACTATACGTGAGGCTATAAGAATCGACATAGCTATACAGCCTCTCAGTTTTACGGCGCATCCTTTCCGATTTGTATAGCCTCGCGTACGGCCTTACGTACGGCTATATAGCCTTTCCAATTCGTATAGCCTCACGTACAGCTTCACGTACAGCCTCACGTACGAGCTGTATATACAGCTGCACAAATCGGGCAGGATGCACTGTAAAACAGAGAGGCTGTATAGCCATGCTGATTTGTATAGCCTCGCGTACGAGCTCACGTACGAGCTCACGTACGGCCGTATATACAGCTACACAAACCAGATAGGCTGCGTTGGAGGCTACGTGGCCGCATTTGGAGAGAGCATTCGGAATTAGTGGGCAAGTGAAGCGAGCTAATCGGAAGCTCCGGAGCAACCCTCTAAGCCAATCAGAAGGCGGTGAAGTGACAGGGGTAGGGTGTGTACGATTAGTCGTTAGGAGGTGTACGATTATTCGTTAGGGGGTGTACGATTAGCCCTCCCCTTTACTACTGGTCGTCCTTACTAGGACCATCTCCGGGGCGACTCAAGGAGATGCGCACAATGCCTTATCATAAATCTGCATGAACTTCCCCGTCACTGCTAAGGGTACTGTATTCAAACGAGCTCGGTAATGCCTTCGGTTGCTTACCGATGCCCGGAAGGCAGCGCAGGCTGATGTTCACATGGAACTGACGCGAATAGCGTCATAGACGCAGCGTATCTCTTCTTGAGTGCATTGGCATTATTCATGTCCCGACTAGAAGTAAGGGTCGCTTACCGTGACTCTTGAGCTCAATCAGACAACAACGTAAATGCTGGCGAGGCCCGAGGGCAATGTTGTAAACGTTATATTGACCGTCCGGAGTCGGTGGAGCTAAACTTCCTTACCAGGAATTTGGTAGTACCCCAGGGATCAATTAGCAGATCGGACGAAAGCAGACCATGTAAAGGAATGATATTTGAAGATGAATGCATATACCCACGTGGAGCAACAATTTCCGTCACCAGTGATCGAGAAATGACAAGCGTATGTTTGATCCAACACCAAGCTATAAATTAAGAAGCTCCAATTTTGCCAGTGGTTCTCATTTGTTTGTGTTTGATAATGTGCTTAGGAGGCATTTGATTTGTGACCCATTCTTTTTTAGAGAATCGCATTCGACCTCCGGGGCAAGTTTAGTGCACAAAAAAGGACGCCAACCCCCAAGACAGTGCTGTGCCTGATTTCCTTGTCATGCAAAGCTCGCGCGCACCGCCGAGTATCCCTGCTCCACTGCTACTCTGAGTCCGCTCAGAACACCATCGCATGCGGTTGCTGGCCCTTGCGTAGGCTGAAGCTCGAGCCAAGGTAGTGTGACAAGTTATCCACCTTCTTGATGCTAGCCAACAGAGCCTTGTCCACGGCCTTCTGGTCCTCCGCGCGGCTGCTGTCCACCTGCTTCTTCTGGAAATAAGTCAGCACTCAGTCCTCATCCCACGCAAGCCTCTTCCCTGGGTGCTCATGTGTGGTAGGGATTCCGCATGATTGACTGACCTCCGGCTTCTCTCCCTGCTTGAAGAAGGCCTCCTCGCCCTTCGCCTTTGACTCCTTTCCCTTTGTGAAGTAGCCCTCCTCGGACACCTTTTCTATCACCTTCGAATCGACGCCTTCGATGTCCACGACGGTAGAAGTGCTGAGGACATATCGGTGGTTGACGCGCCGCAGAGGAACGCCGTTGACTTTGAAGGGTCCGGTAACGAGGAGAGCACCACCGGCGAGCTGCTTGAGAACTAGCAAATGTCAGTACGCAATTACACTAGATAGTTGGGGGTTCCTACGGATCACGCGCTTGCCACGGAAACGGCCTGTAGAGGGAATGTCAGCGATGCCAAATGGAGTCCAGAATATGCAGTCATAATTACCAGCAAGTAATATCAGGACGGTGCCGGGCTTGAGCGACTCGCGGTACTTGGTGGGGTGGAGGGTCTTGCGGGTCTGCGGAATTGCAATGTTAGCCATGCTCGTCCGCGTGCGTTGTGTCTGGCGGAATCTCTGGCTCATGGTGTCTTTGATGCGCAATCCGCGTTCCAGCTGGCCAGAATCGTAGCAGTCTGAGCCGCCTGCAACAGCAGCAATTTGGGCCTCTCGCTCCAGGGCTCCCTCGCGATGGTGTGCGTACCTTCTTGGGTTGAGTGTCATCCTCCGCCGGGTAGTACTTCGAGGCCTTCGTTGTCGACATTGTGAAGGACTAGTGGACGGTCCTGGACACGCTCAAGATCAGCATACAAGAAATACGACGGCGGCTTCGAGCGTGAATGCGGCATACCTGAGCTTCTCCCAATTGTGCTGGTGTTGGGGTTAGGCACTGGCTGGCGACGTTATGGTGCGAGATGCGATTTTGGAGTGGGAATCTCGCCTCGTGGGCGCTAGGGCCGAAAGAGGCGAAGCGCGACTCTTCCTAGAAATTCATCTTCTACAACTCGACTCTCCTTCCATGCGACTATCTCACTCTCGGAGCACAACTCAGAGCATACAATCCCATTGATGTTAAATCTTGAAGAGCCGACAGAACCGCGGCTCGATATTCTGTTTCTGATTATGCAACAGCATGACTGCGGCGCCAACGGCCTGTAGCTCAAGTGAACGAATATCTGCCCGCTCTGTTCACAGTTGCATCTGTCGCACTACGGACTGCTTCTACTATAGACTCGAATCTGTTACCTCTCTGAAAACAAGCATATGCATCTCGAGACGTTCGCTGTGCCGCGATGGTTTGACGTGATCGGGAAGCGGCGAAACGTTCTTCCCGGGTAGTGTCTCAGATGACGACCGCTCCTCAGCTCCCGCCGATTGCCCCTCATCTCTTCCATTGATTCATAGCCTCGCGCCTCTAGACTCGATATCGCGCAAGGAGCAAATCTGTCACTCGTGACCACTATGTACAGCTGAAGTTGCGCGCCCTCATCGACACCCTGGCGAACTCACGACGGCTCAAGGTCTTCTTAGTCGCGCTCCTCCTCTTCCTCTGCATCTCCGCCATCCTGGCTTCCGCTCGATTTGGAGGTCGTCTCACATCTCTTCTTGCCCACGTCAAGCCCACCAGAATACCCCCGCTCTCATCTGTGCCCGAGCGCCCTCTTGCAACCTCAAGTATGGCCCCCGCCAAGTATCAGAAGCCGCCCCAGGCTCCGCCCAAGTTCACCGCAACCGAGTCATCGTTGATCGAGGACACCAAACGCCTGGTAAGTATACATCTGCTTGACTGGACCTTCGGCCCGACAGCATAATTAACCCAATGCAGATAGCCAGATCTCGGGGCGTTCAAGATGCCATCGTCAGAGATGTTACGCCTGAAACAGCCACCTTCGCCAAAGTTACACTTCCAATGGCCCGTGACGACAACAAGATGGCTATCGAGTCGCATATAATCGGGTTCTACCAAGCTGTCTCGACAGATCAGAAGCTGCGCGACGCGTCCACTGAAGCTGAGAGGCTACTTGACGATTTCGGAATCGAGTCGAGCATGCGTGAAGACGTTTACAAATTGGTGGATGCTGCATTCAAGGCTGGGGAGTCGTTGGACCCGGAATCGAAGCGGCTGCTGGAGAAAGATCACAAGAGCTATATTCGGAACGGACTAGGGGTACCCGCCGGTCCTAAACGGGACCGCTTCAAGGAGATCAAAAAGAGGCTGAGTGAAATCAGCATCGGATTCCAAAAAAACCTCAATGAAGAGAATGGCGGGCTCTGGTTTAGCCCCGAGGAACTGGACGGCGTGCCCGAGGATGTTCTCGTCTCGTTGGAGAAGGGCACTGGAGACAATGAAGGAAAACTCCGACTCACATTCAAATACCCGGACTTGTTTCCAACACTCAAATATGCAACCAATCCCAAGATACGCCAGAAGCTATTTGTGGACAACGAGAACAAGTGCAACCAGAACGTGCCACTTTTCCAAGAGACGGTCCTTCTTCGTGACGAAGCCGCTCGTATCCTTGGATACAAGAATCATGCCGAGTTCCGTATTGAGGACAAAATGGCGAAGACGCCAAAGACGGTCGACGACTTTCTTGGCGACCTTCGAACGCGGCTAGCACCTGGCGGTGTGAGGGAGATCGAGAGACTCCTTGCTTTGAAGAAGGAGGATATTAAAAAAAAGGGCATCAAAGACGTGGACGAGGAGCGTTACTATCTTTGGGATCATCGCTACTACGACAGACTGTTGCTAGAGCGCGACTATTCATTAGATCAACAAAAAATAACCGAGTACTTCCCATTGCAAACTACTATTCGCGGTATGCTTCAAATCTTCGAGGAGCTTTTTGGTCTTGTGTTTGTAGAAATCATGGGCGAAGAACGAGACAAGATTGCCGAGACCGGCAAAGGGTCAGACATTGTGTGGCATGAAGACGTTCAACTCTTCAGCGTCTGGGACGATGAAGGAGAAGGCAGTGGCTTTGTGGGGTATCTGTACTTGGACTTGTTTCCCCGCGAGGGGAAATACGGTCACGCTGCCAATTTCAATTTACAGCCGGTAAGAACAACAGTTGATTGGCAATACTGTGAACTTGACAATGCTGATTTGTTGCTAGGGCTATATCGACGAGAGCGGCAAACGACGCTATCCTGCGACAGCGCTGGTGTGCAATTTCTCTAAGCCGACACCGAAAAAGCCTAGCTTGTTGAAGCACGAAGAGGTCGTCACACTCTTCCATGAGCTAGGCCACGGAATCCACGACCTAGTGTCGAGGACAATCTACTCACGGTTCCACGGTATGTAAACCCTTCCCTTGAATTTAGATTTGAGTATCAGAGCTAACCTGCTGCGACTAGGTACGAGCACTGTGAGAGACTTCGTCGAAGCTCCTAGGTAACAATAGGTGGCACCCACTTTTGGTGAATTATGCTGACAATCTCGGCAGTCAAATGCTTGAGAACTGGTGCTGGACTCCCTCCCAGCTCAAGTCCCTCAGCCACCATTATTCGTACCTGTCTCCAGAATACCAAGCGGCATATGCGGAGAGCTCTGGGGGTGCCAAGAGACCGGAAGAGACTGTTCCTGATGAGCTCATCAGCAACCTCATCAGCACCAAACACATCAACGATGCTCTGTTCAACCTCCGACAGCTGCACTTCGGCATCTTCGACATGACAGTGCATGAGCCCGAGAGCCACGAAGACATCAAGCAACTCAAGCTATCGGAGACGTACAACAAGCTGCGCAAAGAGATCTCGAAGCTCGACGGCCCGGAGCTTCTTAACGGCGGCGATTGGGCGTGGGGTAACGGACAGGCCACTTTCGGCCATCTCATCGGTGGATACGATGCTGGTAAGGAGAAGCAACGCGCCTTGGATGACGACGCCGCTAACGCAGGCAGGATACTACGGGTACCTCAGCTCGCAGGTGTACTCGGCCGACATGTTCTACACGGTGTTCAAGGCCAACCCGATGAATGGCAAAGAGGGCCGCCGGTACAGGCACACGGTGCTCGAGCGTGGCGGGAGCCAGGAAGAGATGCAGACGCTGGAGGACTTCCTCGGACGCAAGCCGAGCACGGAAGCGTTCTACAAGGAGCTGGGCTTGAGTGGGTAAGTGGAGGCTGACATGGAGCGGGGACTCGGGGCACCCGCCGACGCATGATCGCCCGCGAGCATATAGTGAATCGTTTCTGAGATACAATGCGGTACTACTGGCGCTGGCGACGCCCGCCTGATTGGTGACTTTTGATATGCCAACCGCCACCAACGTGTGCGTTCGTCAGGCATTGGCTCGGCGCCAGCACTGGACGGCAGGAGGCGCCGTCTCTCGCCTGAGGACGGTGGCACGCCATGGTAAAACCAGGACATCACAACTACGCCGTCTGCTCCGCGGCGGAGAGGCGCCCCGCCTTAAAGACATGCGGCTGCGCGGTGCGGCTGCGGCTAACAGCTAGCGATGCTGGAGATAGCTCCGTCAACACGGCAGCGCGGGGGCGTGGTGAAGTGCTTAGGGCGATGCGCGGCAGGCCTAGTTGGCATACATAAGTCTGGCCGCTTCGGAGGTTTAACCCGCAAAACTTTACCACCCAACACCACCAGCGCGCCCGGCACGGCGGGCGCTCAAGGGCTCTGTTCCCGCCGTCTGCTCTCGTCTGTCTGCCCCCGCCGCTGCGAAAGCACATGGGCCACGGCTGCTCGCCTGCGCCTCTGTCCAGTCCCGTCGTCCAAGGTTCTGGGCAAGGCTCGCGACAATCCTTCCTAACCCGGCTGTCTTAGTCATTCAATCCGACCATCCTCAAACGTTGTGCGCCCGACAATGTCCTTTCCTCCCATCCTCCCCGCTCCCAGTTCCCACGACGCGCCCAGTGCCGACGCGCCCAAGGGCAGGAAGCGGCGCACTCCCAGCCATGTATCGCTAAATGCATGCACCGCCTGCAAGAGGGCGCGCGCCAAGGTAGGCTCCCGAAAACCGCTGCCATGCAAGCCGGGACTGACGGTTGGATGCTCAGTGCGACGGCGAAGCCCCCGACCCGTGCAGCAGATGTGTCGCGCGTGATGTGGCCGACCAATGCCACTACGAAGTCCATGTAAAGACGGCCAAGGAGGACATGGTCCGTCGCATCAGGACGCTCGAGCAACAGAACGCCGCGCTGCTGGGCTCCATGGAGGAGCGGGAGCGTGCCATACGCAAGAAAGACCTCTGGATTGAGACTTTTTTCAACGCCCTGAAGGAAGGCGAACGCGGCCCCGAGGTCGTGGCGATGCTGCAAGCGGGCCAATCGTACGATCAAATTGTGGAATGGCTCGGGCAGCCCCCTTACGCCGGCATCACACATCTGTCCCCATCCTCGGAGTCCCGATTATCGCGCATGGCTAGGAACGCTGACGCTCGAGAGGTCTTGGAGAGCACGACAAGCTACGAGACTGCCATGGACCTTGACGCGAGCCCAGAAAGCCAGGATTCCTTCAAGTGGACCAACGTCGACGTCACCAATGCTCAGAGCCACCATCTCATGGCTCTGTACTTCACCTGGATCCACCCTGTGCACATGCTTTTTAGCGAGGACCACTTCATGGGAAGCTTCCAGAAGGGCAGTAATACGTACTGCTCTATTTCTCTGTTCAACGCCATATGCGCCTTGGGATGTCTCTTCATGATGGACCGAGAGAAACAGAGGGCGAGTTCCAATATTTTATTCCCCCGCTTCCTTAAGGAAGCACGAAATGAAGTGGGTATGGAGGACCGAACAAGACCCACCTTTGCGTCCACCTATGCCGTTCTCTTTCTGATTGGGATCAGTTCTGGAGAGGCCCGCAAGGCCTCCGCCTACCTCCGCCTCGCTGCGGAATCCATACTCCATATAGATGCTTCAAAATATGACCCAGCGGCACTAGAAATTACTTCATGGGGCATCCACACATTGAACATTGCGTGGGCTGGCTTCACCTACCAGAAGCCGTTCGCCCCAGTGTCATCGAAAGCAACCGTGTTCAAGAACGTCAAATTCGATACAAACCAGGATTTCTGGCAGCCCTATCAACATCCCGCAGATGCCACAACCACCAAAATGCACAGCCATGCCATTCGAACCGCAAAGGAGCTGGCTGGGCTCAATCGGATCATCATGAACACGATCAATGTTTACTGTGGAAGCCGCGGGCCAGTCACTGCGCAATCAATCTTGCAACTGTACCGGAAATACTTAGAGTGGAAAGCTGGCTTACCAAGTATCTTGGACGTCGGCGAAGATGACTCTCAAAAGCTTCCACATGTCTATTTTCTCCAGTGCGCAATCCCCGCATGGTACAGAGAGCAGGCTAACTTTTCCCAGTGCATACTATCATGTTGCCCTTTGTCAACTCTTCCAGCCACTCCTATATCACAGATTCTCTCAGACGACTCTTGACCATATCAAGAGTATTACGGTCCAGACGGCTCAAGATGGGTTCAAAATCCTCCAGGCTTACCAGCAATCATGGTCATACCGCTATCAAGTGCCTCTTCAACTCTTTTGCCTCGTCCATATTTGCGATGCATTGGTCCGGTTTGACACTCCCGAGATAGATAAGCCGGAACTCGTTGAATTCTGTCTGAAAGGACTGCACGAGGCATCGCCCAGCTTTTCTTTTGTAGGGCCGCTACAATTCATGTTCCTCCAGACAGTTCGCGAGCAGGGAGTAGCTACGCCGGCTAATTTACATGAGCTGATGGATGGTCGGACACACTATGGACCGGAAGATTTGCTTGACGCCTGCGAGAGGGTTACGTATGTACAACCAATCGAAATTCTGCTGCAGCGATTTGATCCTGGGATTTCGGCAGACTTCGAACCCGAGTGGCAAGAGTTTATTGAGTCTCACGGCTCTGGCGGCGAAGGAAGTAGTGACGACATAAAAGTGGTACATTCATTGCGACAGGCAAGGCGCTCGATGCAAATAGGCTCCTTCGTGAATTGAACCCATGAACGTCTAAGCTTCCCAGCTTGCCGCTCGGCTGCTCTGTCAATCAGGCAATGCAGTCTGTGTTATGTGTGGCAGCATATAGGTCGGCGTTTACGGTTGCAATTAGTGGAGTTCATTGAAGGAGAAGTACGGACTTGGTCGCGAGACATAACGTCAACGGCCGGCATGAAGGTTTGTCGTGCTGAAGACGATATGAATCGCCACGCTAGGGAAAGGGGCGCCCGAGGCGTGAAAACTCATTGGGTAGGGATTACAGACAAGACAACAATCCTTCTCGGGGGTTTAGTTCCTCTGAAGAATACTACCATAGCCTGGGGAAGATCATGCTTTTGTATCATCTCAGAATAGGATATCAGGCTAGGAAAGCGACAAATGCGCCTGCAGCAGCGGAAGTAACTCCGAGTATCTCTTTCCTGCCGCCAAGGTGGTGTTTTGAGTCTGGTGACCTTAGCGATACACACCCAGATGCGATATCTTGTTGCAGTAGTAATTGGCTATTCTGCCTACGTGAAAGCTACTTTTGGCTTACAAATAACTAATAGTAGGAATTGCGCCTCTGAGTTCCTGCACGGACTAACTATGTTTGATGTATCTTCTCCCTTTCCATGATTTCTCTCTTTCTTCTGAGTCGATCCATGGCGCTTTCCTCGATCTTGTCCATCAAGAGTGTTGGCAAAATTTCGTATGGGCTGTTTTCACCTAGTATACGGTAACTAGTCGCCAGGAATCGGTCGCGAAACTCTTTCCATAAGCCTTGGTCCTCTAGCACCGTACCATGTGGTCGAGGGTAGTACGGATCGTTGAGAAAGAAGGCATGACACGCTTGCTCCACCCCAGCCATGTTCATAGTGATCGGCTTGCAGCAGTCAAAATCGAGTATCCATATAATGTGCTCTCCCAAACCCGAAGACTTGAACGACGTTGGCTGCCCGGGCTCGCGTGGAGGTGCCAGCACAAACTCGACGTCCGATGCGTCCACTTTCGCAGCCCAGTGCATAACGGCAAGAGCATCGGCCATGGTGGTAGCGTACGCTAGGGTGTCCAGCTGCAGTTGTTCCATTTGGTCGATGTGAAGAGGATAGTTCCGGAGGCTGAAAAGTTGAAGTGCTGACTTTGTGGGCCCTGTGCGATGTCGCCTTCGTCCAAGATATGCTCGAACGAGGCAGTCATCATCCGCGCGGTTCGACTTGGTGAACTCCTTTCGGCTTAGTGGGCAGAACATGTCGACAAGATAGTCCCGACCTGACCGAGGAAGTCTGGGGATGCGCTCGGAAATAAGCGACGTGCAATGATCGAGGTGATTTGGAAAGCGATGCGACATATCCTCCCACCACTTGGAATCCGACTGCTCGATAAGTGTGTGGCATTCGGGTACTAGGTGTGGCATGGCTGTTGGAGTATTGGAGAAGGCGTCGATGATTCTTCGGTGCATTTCGTAGTCGTTGCGCACCGAACGGCCCGGGTTCATGTCTTCTCTCTTGATCACATGAAAGCTGTTACTGTCCCCATCAGAGGCCCAGATACTGCCACAGTTCCCCTTTCCGATGCAACGAAAGCTGAGACTTGAAGTAGAAATCGTTGCGAGCTTCTTGTGACGAGTGTGGGCGGGGATGACTGCTGTAGTTCAGGTATGTGGTGAGATGGGAAGGCGCTCTTCGAGTGCTGGATGCTCCTGTTCGTCCACGTCCCATGGAACAGCTCACTGCTCATCGTGATGACTCACTGCTTGCGGGATTTTTCCAGCGCCCAGGCTTCACCGCCCGAGATGTTACAGAGCATAGTAGAAGCCAGCCTTGCGTTTGCCTTGCGTTTGATAACTGACGAGACGGTCCTATCTGTTCAAAAGTGTACATATATACAGTCTATCCTCCCCAAATACTGTCGCATTATGATTCATCTACGTCTCAATAGCTCAACAACATGCCGACTTCCTCGTTTTGTCCGCAAGATGATAAAATGGAAGGTTGTCAGAAGGCAGTAGACTCCCGCTTTAGGAACTCAAAGTTTCTCTGGGAAGCTTTACAGGCTGCCAGGCTACCAGTGTTTACTAACGGCGGTAGAATGCATCCCGATGGGAATAAGAGGCTGGCTGTCTTGGGCGATGTCGTACTAAAGCTAGTACTAGGAGGTACGTCGAGGCTGGTATAGCGGCGACGAGACAAGAAGTAAGTATACTGCTTTGCGAATTTAAAGACCTGTGGGATCTTTTCTAAATAAGATGTAGGCTAGATGAACGATATTGTAAGCTCTATTGAATTAAACGAGAATCTAAATACCGTAGGACACAGGCTATGTCGTCTTGCCGATTTCATCAACAAAAACCCGTCTCAAGGTCACGCAGTTCCACGCAAAACGATGGCGGATACGGTAGAGGCGATTTTGGGGGCTATTTTTCTTGACAGCGACCTTGACAATGTTGCCCGGGTTATGCGCAACATTGCTCTCACGGTCTGAAAGCTGCTAGGCGGGGTTTCGACTTCTCTCACATCTAGTATTAGTATCGAGCTATGGCAATGACGGAACACAAGTCTCCAATTTCGCCTTCTTGAGGTCCTTCTGAGTTAGTTCAGCAAGGTAGGGATCGATTTGTCCCTTGGTCACGGAGGTGATAGCGAGGGGACTGTGGCTTATCCCTTTGACCCAGGCCATCAGTCCGACGTAAGTGATGGAGAAAACGAGAATGCCGCGGATGCCCTGTCTATACGCGATATACCTAGGAATGCCGCATCGAATAGCGCACAAAGTACTGGGGAGTATCATCTCGCAGGCGTTCCCGGCTTTGGGGTACCATGATTTGGTGTGGGTGATGAGACGGTGCCAGATTCTGAGCAGCATCCTAGCAAATAAAGATATTATTAAACTAGGTGGAAGTAATCAGAATGATATACTGTTTAGTCTTGGTAATGCTGAGAGACCAGACCAGAGGTCGGCTAGCATTGCGGAGAGATCGTGCGAGGACTTCACCAAGACAAAGAGCCCGATTCGTCGATCGGAGTCTGGACGTGGTGCTGCTTCTGTGGAAGCTGGAGATGTGGGGATGCGCTGACCGAAGCGTCCATACCTGCACGTCTATTTCAGTGACATGTCCACGGGAGTGGACCCACTGTAGCCGAGGGCGGGATGGCGAGACTGGAGGAAGACTATGATGCCGCGTCTATGAGGACTATGAAGGACTAACGAAGTGATGAGCTGGTTGTTTGGGACGCTGTCGTTTGCTGGGGGCTTGTTACTGGGAATCCATTGCGGTGAAGGATGAAGAAAGCAATCAACCCCCTTCTGCCACCTTCTCTACAAGGACGGCTTGCAATGCAAGCCGTCCTGCATCAACAAAAGCTAGTCTGAATGCAAGAGACTGCACTTAGTCATCGCGTTTGCCCTCAAGATTGCGGAAGTTGTGAGAGAATACCCCGGAGAATGCTGAGAGGCAATAGGTTCGTACCCTCGGTGCCTCGCTCTCCCGAGCTTTAGCGTTGATACGGGGGTGGCTGTGTCAATCCTTCTAACACGTTCAGATGATCGTTGCGCAGCCCCCAGCTTCAACCCTGCCGCACTGGGGCGGGGACGATAGTCTTCGATGCCTGTATCTTGGCGGAAAACAGTCTTTAATACCTGTAAAACCCTAACCATTCAATACAAAAGGGAGACTCTCATCCCATACCCTGAATGGAGACCTTCTTTTCCGACTCTTCCATCAAAGTTCGTAAGCCATGCCAGTCTACCACATTTACGTCGTATCGCCAACCGACCATCGCGCTGTATCCGCCGTATAGAAGTGGCGACCGGCTCGTGCACGCTACCACCTTGTGCACGTTTTCTCCAACCCATTAAAATTAGATTATACAGCAACGCTCTTATATAATAAGCTATAAATTAAAACTTATATATTATTATTATTATATTCTATTACGCTGGTGTAGCTCCCGTTAGGGTCCATGCAGCTGTTCTATCTAGGCTAGTTTACAAGGAGAAACCGTTTGCTGCCATGCAGCGTTCGGATGAAAACCCCGTC